TATGCCCACTGGTCGCTAATGCAGACAAGCAGTACAGACATTTAAAATCCAGGCCCTGATTTTCAGCATTTAGAGGCGGTTTTCAGCGGTCGAGCAGTGTTTGATATAACTTTCTGTTTGCAAAGTCCAGACATTGTTAAATAGTTGGAACAATCCCTTTGATCTGATATTTTTGGCTAATCATTTCAAATGATTTAATATTTTTGGATAAACTTTTAAAATTATAGTATGTCATAGGTCTGAAAAGAAAACAGGCACCATAACCACTGTAGTGGTTACAGAGCTTGGAATGCTCGTTTGATGCATTACTAATGCAATACATTAAAAAACATGGTTTAATAGGCAACATAACCACTGCAACTTCGTTGGCATTATCTCCCAGTTCAACGTCAAACCTTTTAGGAATGTTTCATATAACTGTGGCTCTTCCTTGCACCCAGGGGCAATCGACAGGTAAAATTCTGAGCATTTTAAGTCCATACATGACTGCAAAAGCAGAGCTTGATGTCTGGGTAGCCCTAAATGGTTGCCAGTCGGGCAGCCTACCTCTAGCATGCATGTGGACAGTGGTTATGCCTCTATATGTGGGTGGGACATTGTACACACAACCTGATAAAACACTTTCTATTTTCAAAAACTCACCCTTTAGTAAATAAACCTGACAGTGTATCTATCTATATAAAAAAGGGGTCGGGGCACACCCAGAACATGCATTTCTTAGTAGTGGTGCTGTTGTTAAGACCAAAACATGTAAAAAAAAAAAAAAAAAAATACAGATAAAGAAAACCAGCACAGTCACTGTAAAAACAGGTTTAAATCTTACAAGGCTATGTAATTCACATATGTTAGCAAACACATATGGGGATTATTTACACCATATGGCTAAATCGTGTTAAGCCCACCGTCACAGTACCTTAATATTGATGTGTCCTACTTTAATTTTAACATGGGAGATATATCTATCTATATCACATGCTGGAGCAATGTATCTACTCCAAAAAAGTGTCTGTAGAGATGACTAACCATGTGTACAAACTATGAAAATCAAATTCCACCTATTTACAGTTTTCTGGCAATCTGTCCTCTGCTAAATATCTAAACCGTCTCAAATCTTTATTTATATACTCCTTTACCCTTCTCGAAAAGAATAAAAATCCCTTAAATTCTCAGTATTGCCAATTTTTAATCTAGCTTCATGGGAGGTTGACTACAAAACAATTGAAGTGTTACATAATCAAACAAGTTTGCTCTATGGAGGAACCCATTGTCTGTGCTTATATACCATAGGAAGAGCAAAAAGGAAGAAAACAAAAAATACTACCAAAAGGTGTACCTGATTACATGTGGTGTGAGAGTTGTAATAGTAATTGTCACAAAGAAATAATAATATAATTGGAAATAATGAATATAAAGTGCGGATAAAAATGTAACTTTTAATGGTTAATTTAAAAAAAAAACATAGAATGCGGAAATACAAGGTAAAACCCCAGGTATTAAGTCCTGTATAAAAAAAATAATATATATATATATATATTGTCTTGCTATAACAGCACTAAGCGTTCTGTCTATCTAACTGCCTGAGAAAAACCTCAAAGTATCAAAATAAAAGATAATATAATGAAAAAGTATCTATTTACACAATGTTATACAGAGCAGTTTGGGGGAGAGAGTTAGTAGCTATCTCTATAGACTAGGCCAGGAGAAGGCAACCTTCAGCACTCCAGATGTTGTGGACTACATCCCCCATAATGCTTGTACACCCATAATGCTGGTGAAGCATCATGGGAGATGTAGTCCAAAACATCTGGAGTGCCGAAGGTTGCCTATGCCTGGACTAGGCTCTGCTGCAGACTGCCTAATATGGCAAGTAGCTATACACCCCCAATTAGAAGTATTAGAACGCGAGAAACACAAAAATATTTGAACTAAGTACTGTAGAGTGGGAGGTCCCTTGTAAGAGTAGATCAGTGATAGTCAGTATCTGTGCCTAAATAAGACTTGTCAGTGCAAATCTAATGTGCCTTCGAGGGCACCCCTTAAGTCAAAACTACACTATCACAACCCCCCACTGAATTACAAGACTGAAATGAAAATAATTAAAACAAAAAATGGGCATGAAGCCCAATCTCATATAGCCGTTTAGAGACAGTGTTGAATGGAATAACGGCAGCGAAATGTAGAACACTAAGATAATGCCAGCTACGACATCCTAATTAGGGGCTCAGGACGCCGTAGCCGGCAATATCTTAAGAAAGGGACAGGCCAGCCATAAAATAGGCGGCCAGTAGGCTGACTTAGTGCCACTCAGGGCAGACCATGCACAGAGCTCTACCGACATGCTCTGTGCACAGTCCTTGTGCCCTGTCCAATGCCTACACCAGGAGCTGTGTCCTGCTTATGAAATTTGCCGGTCTTATCTTTTTAATAGCTGAGCTGCATATAAAAATATAGTAAGCCAAAAAATATAGTAAGCCAAAGTAAGGACTTTTTGGTTTTACTTAAGTGCCAACTTTTGGCAAACTGCAGCTAAGGGCAGAGGTACAAACAGCTTTCACTACTATATGGTGCCAGTTTCCACTAATGGTGGCTTGAGATGGTAATGGGGACAAGCAGTGATGACATCTCATTGCGCATGTACACGGTCATCCATGGGAAAAAAAGCCGTAATGTATTAAAGCCAGTACAGCTCCAGACAGGCCATTTAAAGTGGCTCGCTCACTTGGCAGGATTTGCTTTTAAAGAATGATTTTTTGCTTCTCTATTTCTATTTTATTTTTTTAATCACCTTATTCTTTTAGTTATAAATAAGAAAATATTGGGAATACTGTGTACTGTGTGTATCTCTCTGTATGTGTTTGTCTGTGTATCTGTCTGTATGTATATATTCATCTGTGTGTGTATCTGTCTATATGTGTGTCTGTATGTGTCTCAGTCTGTATGCGTATCCGTCTGTACGTGTGTCTGTATGTGAGTCAGTGTGTGTCCCTCTGTATCTGTGTGTGTCAATGTTTGTATCTATATGAGTGTCATCCTGTGTATCTGAATGTTTGTCATTAAGTGTGTCTGAATACCTGCTTTTGTGTCAGTGTGTCTGTATGTGTATCTTTGTGACTGTATGTGTATCTCTTGGTATGTGTGTCTGCATGTGTGTCAGTGTGTGCTCCTGTATATCTGTATGTTTCAGTGTGTGTATCTGTTCGTCTGTAGGTGTTAGTGTGTGTCTGTGTGTGTGCTATTGTGTGTATCTGCATATATGTCAGGGTGTGTTTGTCTGTTTATCTGTGTGTGTGTTAGTGTGTGTCTGCATGTTTGTCAGTGAGTGTATCTGTGTATCTGTATGTGTGCCAGTGTGTATCTGTGTATGCACCTGTGTGTTCGTGTATCTGTCTTTGTATATCTGTGTATTTGGGTGTTTTTACCTCTGTATGTCTGAGCCTGTGTATATGTGTATCTGTATTTGTGTTTGTGACAGTGTTTGCATCTGTATGTGTGTCAGCATGTGTATTTTCTCTAGGTGAAAAATAAGTGTGGCTAAGTCTACGATCTATGTGTCTGTGTGTTTTCTTTATGTATGTCTTTGGGTGGAAGGCGTGTTTGCATGCTAGAAGGTGGGAGGAAAGGGACCATGGGGCCCAAGCAAATGCTTGCCCAGGGTCCAATCAACATTAAAAACGGCCCTGGTGCGAGGAATACAGCTTTGTATTCCTGGCAGTATCCTTTTACGGGTTATAGAAGACCTCCAAATAGTCTGTTTAACCCATCAGCTGCCACTCATTATTTGAGGGGTCATGCTTCATCCCATGAGTGGCTAAGTTGAAATACTCAAATTCACTTTTAATCCTAGACAATTCACACTTTAGGTTTCTTTACTGAACTCTGAACTACAGTGTACTGAAATCTGAATGAAAAACTTTGGTCTAAAGAAACACTATAGCGTTAGGAATACAAATATGATTTCTAACGCTATAGTGTCGGATTACCTATTTTGATTATTGGGGCCACATAGAATTAAGAGAAGTTTTCCTTACCTGGCACACTGCCCTCACTGTAGCTTCCCTTCCTTCCACATAGGGAACCTTTGGGAGGCTATTATGCATGTGCGTCAAATCGCCATATTGTGCCAATCAGGGGCTTCTTAAGTCAGTGCATCTCTATGGGGAGTGTTCAGCCGCTCAATGCACAGTGTGAAGACCCTGTATGTTGGTAATGCAGCCTTTCAGGATCAAACCTAAGAAGCTCGTCTAGTGGTTGTCAGAGTTACAGTCACTAGAGGTGGCATTAGGTAGCTTCAAAACATAGTCTTTTCTCAGACACGATAGCGTTTACATTGCGGAGGCCACAGGGACAGGCCATATGCCCAGAAACATTAAACTGTAGTGGTTCTAATGACTATAGTGGCCCTTTAATGGAACACTATAGTGTTAGGAATACAAAGCTGTATTCATAACACTATAGTGTCCATTTACCCTCTGCCTTCAAGCCCCCCACCCTGTGGCATTTAAAGGGATAGAACCCCTTTAAAAAATTATCTTATTGAAGCATTGAGGCTCGGTCTCCTCTGACGTCCGCGAAAAGGGCGAACACATATTAGGCTTTTCCAGTAGAGAAGCATTGAATCAATGCTTTCTTATAGGGATTTACAAGACGCTGAAGGTCCTTATGCAAAGTTAAACTCTGTGAAACAGGGTTAAGGGGCAGAGACAGTGCACCCAGACCGCTTCAATGAGTGTCCTTTTAAATAGACAAACTGTGACTGTAGCCGAGTTGAAGATTATTTCCAGATCAGCTGTTTGAGCCTTGGTTATGCCATTCAGATTTAATTTCTCTACAAATTGTGAATTTAGTGAATAACCCTTCCAGTTCCCAACAACCCACACAGTAAGCAAACTTGAATGTGTCATGAGCATTTTATCATCTGACACGTTACAATGTGTCCAGTAGGTGGCGCCAGACGACACCAGCAGCCATGCACTATTAGGGAATGTCACTGATGTATGCTGGTTGACGCCTCTCCTCTGCCTGTCCCTGCAAAGCACTCAGGGAGGGCTGCTGATGGTAGTAAGTAAGAGGGAGTTGGAGGGGGGATAGAGGAGGACCCATCCTCTGCCTGGAAGAAGGAGGAGGAGGTTGAGGCCAGAGCTGTGCTCACAGCAGCAGGAAGAGAGAGGCTTGGATAGGCTTGGAGGCCAGCCTGAGGCTGCAGTGTGTGGCAGTGCCAGCACCCGGGAGGGTCTGGCAGGCTCTGCATTGCCATCTGGGCTTACCATCTCCCCCTGCACACCACCACCACCACTCCCAGCCAGGCACAGCCTCACCAGGAGCAGCTGGTGGCAGAGGAAAAAGGATGGAACCAGGTGCCCCCCCTGAACTGCAAGCTGGTGACAAGGACACAGAGAGGGTACCAGGAGGGCACTGTGCTGTCGGCAGCTGGGACATGGGCACCCAGATACAGATTAGGGTGGCCATAGAGGCAGTTGATGATGATGATGACCCAGACACCCAGGATTTCAGAGGAGGGCTGGAAGGAGGAAGCTGCAGCGAGGATGACTACAGCCGCAATGACAAATACAGGTACTTAACACCATGGTCATCATAGGGTTAATACCCCCTCCTCACCCCCCTTAGATTACTGCCCCTTTATAATGCCCCCCTCCTCCCCTAGATTACGGCTCCTTTATAATGCCAGCCACCTTATCTAATCACATAAAGAGCCAGGGAGCAGGAGCATGTCACTGGAGTTTACATCTCAGAAGAATTGAATTGATTTATATTTATATACCCTTATCCCCATGGCTGTGAAAGGGTTAACCATTAGTACCCTCTAGCTGGGCTTGGCACAAGTTGATTGGCACGCAAAGGGTGGGTGTCAGCACGTGTGCGAGGTGCTTCCTGTTCTTTAACCCCTTATAGACGGAGGCAATGGTACAAGTTCTGAACCAAAACAAAACCTGGTATGTGTCTGTTCAACCATAATTTAGCTCTTTTATATTAAATGTAAGCGCACTTATTATAGATCATTTTATTTAGGAGAAACAGGGCTTTCATTTCACATCAAATATTTATATATATAAAACATAATTTAATATGAATAAAATCTAAAAAAGAAAAAATGGTGAGAAATTAAGATCTGTAGTTATTTTTCCAGGTTCTGCATGGCATTTTAACTGTGAATGTCGTAATACTGTTTTTACTGCACTAAAATACACGTTTGTATGCTGTATATCCAACTAAGTACAATGATGACCCCATGGGCAGATTTTATGGTGTTAGAAAAGTTACATGATGAAATATAGGGTTCGCAAATAAAAATTTCTGGCATTTCCGCACGCTATTATGAATTATAGTATTATATGTATATTTATATATGAATAATGTAATTATATATATCTTAATATCAAAATACAGTTAGAATGAATATATATATATATATATATATATATGTATATATATATATATATATATATATATATATATTTCCCCCCCCTATTCCAAGCATATTTTGATGTCAATATATGTTTTTATATATTTGATATTGTATATATTAATATCAAAATAGATTTAAAATGAAATTAAATATATATTGACATTAACGTTTATTTTCAAGTAAATATTTATATACTTATGATTATACATAGGCGACCTACCTGACATCCGAGGCAGTCCCCCTGCAGCCAATCCAGCAGATCCGAGTCACATGATCGCGCCGTCACCATGATCACATGATCTCATGGTTTGGATTGTCTGGATTGACTGCAGGTAGACTGCCTAGGTTGTCAGGCAGCGCGATAAGGCCGGAATAGCATGCCCTAACGGTGTTAAAGCCCTCCTTTTGTAAGATGGCATAGAACTCCGTAATGTTGGGAATGGGTTAAGAATTTTCACCAATCTGAAGAAGGAAACATGTTGCCACATATGGTGATGACATGTAATGATTGTGGTGGAGACATGCAATTCAGTTCTCTGGTATTTCTGCTGGGCTGTTATAATCTATATATATTATATATATAAATGGACAGGCAATGATTGTGAAATCTAATAGAACGTGCAATGAGAGATGCAATGATTGTGTAATCTAATAGAACGTGATTAGAGTTTTTCTACTTTTTGAGAAACAGTGAAGATGATTCCACCATGTATCCAAAACATTTTACAGAGCTTTCACCTGTTACAGACAAAATTTGACTCCTCTAATACAGTAACCTAAATCTGATCTCCCTAATCTAGTTAGTGATGACTGTCTTTAGCACTCCCGCTGCAAACTCCAATTCCCATGATGCACAGCCAGCCAGCATCGTGGGATGAATTGTATAGAAGAGCTAAAGTGCCAACTCTCATTCGTCACTTCTCTGATCAGTGTATCTGAATGCCTGTGTAGAATCAATCTAATCAGGCTCACTGGATACACTTGCTATCACTGCAGTATTTTGGCAGTGCGTGAGTAAAGATATTTTAGGATAGGTCTCATTCATGCCTGCAAAGAATATGGTCTATAGCCAGGAGGAAGCAGTTATGTAGTCGAAGGAGGGCTGCGGGGAGATGAGCATGTGCAGAAACGGATCATAACATTTGCTGCAGTGTGTATTGTTCCTTTATCCCCCTAGTGATGCACAGTGACAGCATTATGGGAGCAGAGAGTAGTCTGTCACCACTGTCTGACCTTCCTGTGACAATGACGCAGGTACCATCTGACAGTGCCTTGAGAATAACAAAATCATGGTAGCAGTCTGCTTCTAGAGCTTTTAACCTATACCCAGTGGAGGTCAATCCAAACCCTCATCGCTGGAAATAACCAAACCATTGCCCCTGGGAAGAATATTTATATTAAATAGGTATATGTTAACTTCAATTTTATCAATAGTATTTTCCGTTAACTACTATTCACAGTTTAATTAGTAAGCCCCTAATTAGTAATAAGCCCCTACCACTACTTTTATTGCAGTTTGTTCTTCTGATATCAGTTTTGTGTTGCATTATATATATATATATATATATATATATATATATATATAAAATTTCCATATATGTATGGTTTTATTTCTTCTGCTATCCCTTGAAGATCTACATTTATTTATTTCTATATAACATTTTTTACCAGGAAGGATACATTGAGATGTCTCTCGTTTTCAAGTATGTCCTGGTTCCACAAAACATTGAATTGATACATTATGGTACAATAAAATACAAAAACAATATTAATACACAATATATACAAAATGTAATAATTTAATATTTAATAAAATATTTTACCAGGAAGAATACATTGAGATGTCTCTCGTTTTCAACTATGTCCTGGGTCCACAAAACATTGCATTGATACATTAGGGTACAATAAAATACAAAAACAATATTAATACACAATACATACAAAATTTAACATAGAACAGGTAGGAAATATAAAAAGTCATCATAACGTTGCAAAAGTAAATAACATAAAGTGGGACAATCATTATAGAAACCAATGGGTACACCTTACCATTTTTGCACCATTTATTTTAGAACATAGCATATTGATATAATGTCAGACTGTCTTTACTCCAACACAATAAAAACTATAGCTGGCTGTAGTGACTATGGTGCTAGTAGTGCCCTGGTTCCCTCCCATGCCTTGCAGGAGCTTACAGTTCCAGAGGAGGAGCATGTGGGTACCCAGCATACCTTAGGTAAGTTGGCAGACCGTTCTCAGATGGTTTGGATATTTACCCTGGGAGAGTGCCAGGGGACTCCAGGCAGCGGTGCTTTGAGTGTTATTTTAAAGGTTTTTTCCAACCCATTTTTTGAAAATAACTTTTTTTTATTTTGTAACGCCTTATTAGGCACTAGTACCGTATCCACCCCCTTTTGTATGCAAACAAAATTGTAAAAGAAGATAAAACTTATTGATAATCCAGAGCTAGGTGCGGTTCTTCCACACTCTATCCTACATCAGGCCATGTCATTCATTTCATTCCTGTGGGCTAATCAAACACTTCTCATAACCCTTTCATACCCTTGCCTCAGAGCTCCGAAGGGTGAGCACTGAGCGGGCATTATTACAAAAAACAATAAATAATAATAAATGTTAATGTAGGGTGGTGGGGAGGGAGCGCACTACAGGAGGGAGAGAGGGGAGATTTAGGTTCCCCTTTACATGTGCACTACCAGCGCTGCCTACAAGGGTAGAATCTGACTATGTCGCCAGCGTGCTGATGACAGATGTATATTTTGCACAGAATTAATATTAGGTACCCAGGGACAGAGCTCTAGACTGCCTTAGGTTTAACTAGTGTACAGCACAACAATACAGATTTCTCTGTACGTGTTGCGTTTCAAGCACATACAGATTCCTTCCTGCTTTTAGAAATCGTGATGGAGGCTGGAGTAACAATTTAAGTTAGTTTTCCTTCCTAGTATAAACAGGTTTCTTAAAACATGTCTCTTTCCATTTGTCCAGCAATCATCTGCATGGAACGGTTTTAAAAGTATTGGGATCCATGAGCTGTACTTCCTCTTCAGGCACAATTACAGGTTACCTGTACTTTCTACTGTATTTCATTATATCAAAACCATTGTGCTAGCTAATGTGAAAATAGCACCTCCCTCTCCTGTCAGTCAAACTATTGGCATAGAGTCTATGCCAATGTCTGTTAGCAAGAGTACATGCCTATGGTTGTTCTATTGCTTGTAGTGCTATGGCAGGTTAGGGACATTTCTAAACCTTTCCAAAGAGGGGCAGTACTGCATAGGAGGTAGCAGTGCCAGAGAGGAGGTTGTCGCCCATGAAGGATATTGCCACCCATAAAATTCATTAGCCAAAGTTTAAAAATGTTTGACAGGTTCACTTTAACTGACTGTGTGATTGTTTTATTTCATAAAGTCTAATTGTTTGCACACACACGTTGCTGTTCAAAATGTATTTGTGATTATTCTTTATGAAGTTTTCTTATAGTTGTCTGACCAAATATGTCAGGTTTACAGGTCTGCAACTTCTCAGAAGAGAGTTTCATCCTTTGTTAGACTTGGGCAGCATTTCTGCTATATGATCACTTCCAAAAAAAAAAAAAAAAAAAAAAGAAAGAATCTGTAGGAAAGATAATAATAAATATTGTTCTAGTATTTACTGGACTAAGATCATGAAGTACCCACTAGTGGGCGGTAGGGACCAGGTTGACGACCCATGATCTATACTCTCATCTCCAGTGTTAAAGGAGCACTATAGTGCCAGGAAAACAAACTCATTTTCCTGGCACTATAGTGCCCTGAGGGTGCCCCCACCCTCAGGGTCCCACTTCCGTGGCGCTGAAGGGGGAGGAAGGCGTTAATCCCTTACCTTTTTTCCAGCGCCGGGCTCCTTCTGCGTTGGGACTCTCCTCCCTCTTCTGACGTCCCTGGCTGAATGCGCATGCCCGGCAAGAGCCGCGCGCGCATTCAGCCAGTCCATAGGAAAGCATTGAGAATCACAGTGAGAAGAGCGGAAGCGCCTCTAGCGGCTGTCAATGAGATTAACCCTAAAGTAAACATAGCAGTTTCTATGAAACTGCTATGTTTACAGCAAAAAGGGTTAAACCTAGCTGGACCTGGCACCCAGACCACTTCATTAAACTGAAGTGGTCTGGGTGCCTATAGTGGTCCTTTAACACCAACCTTTTATATAGTATTAACATATAAACCTTCCTCTATTCCCTATATATCAGTGATGGCGAACCTTTTTGAGCCCGAGTGCCCAAACCGCAATACATGCCAACTTTGTTTTCCTTAAAGTGCCAACACAGCAATTAAACCTGAATACTGAGGTTTAAGTTTAGAAAAAACAACTCGTACTGTTGTCTGAACTAATTAACAACTTATGTTTTAAAAGAACACAACAACAGAGAGTTCAATGATACAAATTTTAAATAATGATATAAACAGTCTGCTGAATACACATACAGAGAGACAGCTGAGAACACACACACAGACTGCTGAGTACACACACACAGTCTGCTGAATACACACACACACAGACTGCTGAATACACACACATACTGCATTGAGAGGTGTAGTGTATGTGTTTGTGGGGGGTGCTGTGTGTGTGCGAGGGGTGCTGTGTGTGTGAGAGGGTTGCTGTGTGTGTGGGGGTGTTGTGTGTGTGTGTGTGGTGGTGGTGTGTGTGTGTGTGGGACGTGTTGTGTGTGTGTGTGTGAGGGGTGGTGTGTGTGAGGGGTGCTGTGTGTGTGAGGGGTGTTGTGTGTGTGAGGGGTACTGTGTGTGGGGGGTAGGGGTGCTGTGTGTGGGGAGTAGGAGTACGGTGTGGGGGGGTAGGGGTGCTGTGTATGGGAGGTAGGGGTGCTGTGTGTGGGGCGTAGGGGTACTGTGTGTGGGGGGGTAGGGGTGCTGTGTGTGGGGGGTAGGGGTGCTGTGTGTGTGGGGATGGTGTGTGTAGGGGGTAAACGTGTTTAAACATTTATTTATTTTTAAAGTGTACTAAATCAGTATCCCCCCTTCTTACCTTTAATGAAAGAAGGGGGGGGTACACACAGCCATCCCTGGTGGTCCGGTGGTGGCAAGCACTGCTTCTAGGTCGGGAGGCAGGGGGAGGGATCTGTGAAGCAGCTCCCCTGTCCTCCTGCGCGATGCTGTGTGGAGTGTTGCCATGATAATAGGTTCGCCATCACTGCTATATATGGTGTACCTCAAAAAGTACATCACACAGAACTTCTTAAACTATTATCAATTATATTGCGTCAACATATTCCGCAATGCTTTACAATAAAATAAGGATATCAGACAAGTAATTTACATACAGAATACAACAAAGAGATGAAGAAGGGCCTGCTCAAACAAGCTTACAATCTTTGAGGAAGGAGTCAAGACACACATGAGAAATTACAGTATGTCAGAGGGGGTATGGATTGATGGATACGATGTCTGTGTCGAAATAAGCTAGTAGAAGTGATGTGTGGCATTTGCGGTGTTGCGTGTCAGCGGCGCAAAGGATAGGGTTTGGGTGCAAGCAGACCCTTGCTTATTATAAACCTATTTTAAAAAGGTTTGATAAAACTCTGAATGACTAAGCCTATAGTCTCATTAAACCATAACCACTACACTAAGCTGCAATAAGTTTCACTACTTGGAGTGTCTCTCTTACTGGGATTTTAGGATATTTTTTAGAGATTGAGATGGAAGTGGTTCAGTGTTTGCCAGGAGGGAGTAAGCAATTAGTTTGTTTCATTTCCAAAGGAATGTGGATTTATTTTGTTGAAAAGGGAGAAAAGACGATTGGTTGCAGTTTTTATTGAGGACGATATGTTCACAGATCCAGTGGGATTGGGAGTGTAGAAAAATAAACAAGCACGAGCTCATGTGTACAGCAGCTGTGTAGTGAGTCCATGTTTCTGTAATAGCCATGAAAGCAAGTTGATGGTGAAGTGAATGTCGAATGGCTTAGGGCAGTGGATCTTTTTAATTTTTTTTGGCAAGGACTGATTAACAGTAGTAGGCAATAAAAAAACCCTCTAAACCCCTTGTCTGGGCATCGCGCCCAAATCAAAGGTGGCGCAGACCACGTGGTCGCGTCCATCTTAAGCTCCTCCCCTCTAATGAATACAGACGTGCGTGTGACGTCACGACGTCAGCGCGCACGCACGTTCTGGGGTCAGAGGTCACCCTCTGACCAATCAGAAGCCAGAGAAGGATATTTAAATCCCTAATTCACTTTACTTCCTTGCCCTGTCTTGGTTTCCTGTTCCTGGTTCCCGAGAGTGCGTTTATCTTTGTGAATTTGACTTCCTGGTATCCTGATCTTGGCTTTTCCCTGGTTATTCTGAATTCTGGTTCCCCTGACTTGGCTTGTTTATACGGTATTTGAGTATTTCTGGCTTCCTTGACCTCGGCTTTCCCTTTGACCATTCTCTATCTCTAGCGTATTAGTCCTGCCATTCTAAGGTCCGGTTTACGCTCTGTCCTTTTATTTTCCTTTTCTTTTGTATGTATATATTTACATAGTTTCTGCATGTTGGACCACACTAGCTGCCATGACAACAGCCCTGTATGCGCACTTAACTGTGCAGCTACGCCAACCAATGTCAGCAGCCATGTCAGAGAAGGAGGAAGCAGTCATTAAGAAAATTGACTATAAAAAACATTACAGACTAGTTTGACGGTGAATTTATACAGGGCTGATCAATAAAGTGAGAATTCAAATAGAATGTCACATTTGAGGCCAGAGTAGCATAATGGAAATCATAAGTGACTTAGAGAATTTTTCAAATTCAGCTATTTTTACCTTAAATTTCAAACTCACATTGACACAGTCTACAACATTTGCGGTTAGCTGGTTCACTTTAAATATCATGTTTACATAAAGTGGAATATTTTCACTGTACCTTTAAATATACAAATTCTGCTGTGCGGTTCGGCTGATTGCAATTCCATGCTATTTTCCGGCTGTAATAATAGCTAGTCTTTTCATCTTCAGTTTGTGGTTAAATCTGTAAACAGAATGTGCTTGACTGTACAATTTTGCAAATCAGTCTTTATAATTTTTGTTTTATTAAATACAAACTATACTTTATAATTTCAGTGCTCTCCCAGACAACACTTACCTGGGGAATTTTGTTTTTCATAAGGTTTATGTGTTTTTAATAAAATAAAAGAATGTTCATTTCAGTGTAGTTTGCCTAGTTATTAGTATGCCTGGAGCTGTAATGCTGGTGTCATTTATAGTTGATATCGGTAGTGAACAGCTGGTATTTTTTTATTCATTCATTAAGTGCCGACACCGAGAGCCATAACAAACTCAACAGCCTGTGCACCTGTGCCCCACTAACAAGATCTAATGAAATGTTCAAAGGTAATGGCATTCACATAGTGTGACACTTACAGGGGTTCCATAACAACTACAGTTTATTGTAGTGATTAGTGAAGCCAATTTGAACTGTCAATTTGATTTAAATCTGGAAGAATTTTGTTCATTCAAAACCAAGCTACCAAGTTGCAATGTCGTTTCGGCTTTCCCAGGGTGACACGGATATACCTTTTCGACACAAACAAATTGATGCCAAGCCTGCATCAATTCAGCGTTGAGAAGGAAGATTTTATTGTTATGAGATCAATTTAAAGCGTTGGCCTCTGGATGCAGGGAATTCTTCCTGTTTTCATCAGATGTATTTAAATGATTTGAAATAGAATAACGTGCAGAACCCATAGCGTCCTGGTACCATAACCACTGCAGTGTGCCACACTAGTTATGGTGCTTGGATTTCCTTTTAATCTGATGCAAGGAATACTGATTTGTTACATGTGTCAGCTCATATAACCAGATGTGTGAAAATCAATTAAAATAATTAAATAGAAAACAGTTTCTTTCTCAAACAGGCAACAATGAGCTTCACAATAAAGATGAACAGGGTTAGTCACTAAAATATTGGGAATTCAAAATGAATTTCAAACTTCAGTATGAAAGATCCAGACTAAAAACATGCTAAGTGCCCCCTCCCCCCCTATTTTGGCTATTTGGTCTAGTAGTTAAAATCCCCTTTGGGGTGGTAGCCAAACTAAAAATATAGCTGATGGATATATATTTTTTTAATTCAGCTGTTTTGGCCTTGAGTCTAAAATGAATGATAAATATACATTGAATTCCTGAAAATGGTTTTATTCACTAAAGCAAACTGAAATCCACATAGCATAACATAGGCAAATATGTTCAGATCTAAATTCAAATTTGCAACTATCCTGAATACATCCTATGAACCCAAGATTTTTTGTACCGATGTTTAGCAGTAATTAGGAACATTAATAAATAACGAGGGGTGCAAGAGTAATCAACAGCACACAGAGATATATACTTATTAGTATGAATGTAGAGCCTCTTGATCTTTCTAAAAAAGCAATATAAAAACATTCATAGCATAATAGTGTATAGCAGCAAGTATAGATCAGTTAAAGAGGTAATGGGTCACTCACACTTTCCAGAGCCACAAGCAGGCTCTGGCTATGTTGGCAGTTGAATAAAGAGCTTATTCAAGCTGTAAATTTCACTCCTTGGGATTTTCCTTCCTGGTACTGCATAAATACGAAGTTATCTATTTATTCAGTGTCACCCATTGTAAAGCGCTACGGAATCTGATGGTGCTATATTAATAATAAAAATAATAATTTTAGTGATTTTAGACAATGGGAATTGTTGCACTTAGATTTGCACTTTTAAGCGCCAATCCACCTTTATTTTATCCTTTCTTGGATTTAATATTGTATATCAGTAATTAGGAGCAGGTATAGGAGAATAAGGTGAGCTAGAATAGCATGATAAGTACATTTCAGGGTACAGGAAACTTTATCCGAAGGATTCTCGTCACATCTCATAACATTCTGTCTTTCAAACTGTTAAAGCTGTGTGCTGTGTGCCAATAGGAAAAGGATATTGCATAGATTTGGTTTTGAGCAAGGCGCCGAAATTGTCAGTCTGTATGAAGTAAATACACAGAATATGAGAAATTGTGCACAACCAAAAAAAACAACACATTGGGAGTTATGGGTAAAAGGGTTTCCGTGAGATAGCTTGTTCAATAAATGAACAGTTGAGCTGTATACAAAGAGTTCTACAAGAAATACATACAATGCAAAGTCGAAAATGGATCAAATAAATGCATTTACTCATTTGTTGCAGATTATGTTTTAAAATAGAATTTTTTTAACTACATTATTGAACTGCAGTTTGCCATGATCCTGTGTGTGTTTAATGAATTTTCATATATCGCAGATAATACCAATGTGAAAATAAAAAAGGTCCAAATGTGTGAATAAAAAATTTACATTTGATCCTCATTTTGCTGTCATGTATTATAAGCCCATTTAGACACAAAGTTGTAGAAATTAAAAAACAAAAAACAAAACACCTACCGTACTTGTCCCACGCCTCTCAACTTTCCAATGAGCAAAGAGGGACACTGTAATTGCAGGGGGGTGAGTGAAGGAATGAGCTGAGGTATTTTAGGTTACGTACTAATAATTTCTGCATATATAATGTAAGTTATACCAAGAACAATGTATCTTATTTACACATTTAGAGTGATTTCTAAACACATCTATTTTAGTTTACAGACTCATTACTGTGTGTATTATTGTTGTGGAGCTCTGTTATACACTCAGACATACCAACAATATGGAACTCCTAGAAAAGAGGGATATTAGGATAAAAAAAAAGAGGGACAGAGGGATTTGGGTCCAAAATAGGGACTGTCCCTGTTAAATAGGGACACTTGAGAGGTATGTTGTCCAAGTGACTAAAGTGGTAGCTCGATCTACTTGTCTAGCATGGCAATCCAGTTGTCCTGGCACAAGATCATTTGAAATTAGTAAATTGGGGACCTGGATTAGACCTGGATATTGGTAGGATTATTCACTAAACTCGGAAACCGGGAACTACATGTGGGCAAAACAAATTCTACATATCATAGATATCCTTGTACATGCCATAGTGACGGATCTGTAAAATATGACCAAATAGGTCATGAGTAATCTTAGAGATTGCACTGTAAAAGTGGCAGTCCAAGCACAAAACCACAACATTTTTGTTTACATAGTTTACATTTTACAGAAACCACTCTTCTAGTAGCTGTCAAATTGACAAATTCTTCAATTTTCAAAGCTCTTCATATTTCGTGTCGTCACACACAGCATATAAAGAAGCTACCACAGTATTCAATGTTTTTAGAAACATAGAATGTGACAGCAGAATAAAACCATTCGGCCCATCTAGTCTGCCCATTTTAAAAAAAATACTTTCATTATTCCCTTATAAAAAAATACTTTCATTATTCCATTATTCATCTTATATTTAGGATAACCTTATGCCTATCCCCCACATGCTTAAACTCATTTACTGTGTTAAGCTCTACCACTTCAGCTGGAAGGCTATTCCATGCATCTACTACCCTCTCAGTAAAGTAATACTTACTGATATTATTTTTAAACCTTTGCCCCTCTAATTTATGACTAGGTCCTCTTGTTGTGGTAGTTTTTCTTCTTTTAAATATAGTCTCCTCATTTACTGTGTTGATTCCCTTTATGTATTTAAATGTTTCTATCATATCCCCCCGTCTCGTCTTTCCTTCAAGCTATACATGTTAAGATCCTTTAACCTTTCCTGGTAAGTTTTATCCTGCAATCCATGAACCAGTTTAGTAGCCCTTCTCTGAACTCTCTCTAAAGTATCAATATTCTTCTGAAGATACGGTCTCCAGTACTGTGTACAATACTCCAAGTGAGGTCTCGCCAGTGTTCTGTACAATAGCATGAGCACTTCCCTCTTTCTACTGCTAATACCTCTCCCTATACAACCAAGCATTCTGCTAGCATTTCCTGCTGCTCTATTACATTGTCTGCCTACCTTTAGGTCATCAGAAATAATTACCCCTAAATCCCTTTCCTCATATGTTGAGGTTAGGACTCAAATATTCTGTACTCTGCCCTTGGGTTTTTACGTCCAAGATGCATTATCTTGCACTTATCCACATTACATGTCAGTTGCCACACATGCACTAAGTATCCACACTACATCTCTAGGATAGGTATTGGATTGGACACATATCATCTTCCTTGATGACCTTAAAGGAGGTGGAGGGAACACTCCACATGTTAAAAGAACACTCTAGCCTTAAATATATATATTTTTTTAGCTGCTGAAAATATGCTAGAGATTATTTGTGTTCATAGATTTAAAATAACACCTATGACATAATTAAGACTGATAGGTCAGCCAGAGTTTCCTACAGAGACATGAATCGTGTCATGTCAAATTTATTACCATGACATCATCCTTTATAATTAGTGACCACGCAGGGTCAACAATCAGTCATTGCAAAGGTGTGCTGAGAACTACATAAGACAAAATGTGAATAGTAAGGAGGAGGAGACCAAGTTAAACAATTACTAGAGAAATGAATTTGGGAACCAGTTGTTCATCATTAATTGTGCTTGTAATCTGTCACCGGGAATCCTGCCATATCTGATAATTATTACAGTTAGAATAACAACACTGGTGAGAATTGACATTCTGCCAACATATGACAGTACGTTTTGTTGTACTTTCCACAGGTGTTCTGAGACACATGCTGGGCTGCGAGATCTGTGGGTTATGACTTTACGATCGCGTCCTCACATCTTTTAACAGACTGGCCAGTATGATTTGGTGCTGTAATACTGCATGAAATAGCAGTATATAGAATGTAGCAAATAGACGTGCGCTGCTGAATCTACGTCTAAACATACATCACAGTAACATATTAAATAGCAGTATTGTATCACTATACAGAGCTATGGTATGATATGCCTGTGTTAAAGGACCAATTTAGGCACCCAGACCACTTCAGCTTAATGAAGTGGTCTGGGTGCCAGGTCCCTCTAGGATTAACCCTTTTTTTTTTTATAAACATAAATAGGTTAATCCAGTCTCTAAAGCCTCTAGTGGCTGTCTCATTGACAGCCGCTAGAGGCGTTTGCGTGCTTCTCACTGTGAAAATCACAGTGAGAAGACGCCAGCGTCCATAGGAAAGCATTATGAATGCTTTCCAATGAGACTGGCTGAATGCGTGCGCAGCTCCTGCCGCGCATGCGCATTCAGCCGAAGAGGCGGAGAGGAGGAAGAGAGCTCTGGAAAAAAGGTAAGATTTAACCCTTTCCTCGCCATCCAGCCCGGCGGGAGGGGGTCCCTGAGGGGGGGGCACCCTCAGGGCACTATAGTGCCAGGAAAACGAATATGTTTTCCTGGCACTATAGTGGTCCTTTAATGCTGATAATGTCCATCAAGCTGCCCTGCCTAGTGTGTAATTCATATAAATGAGGCAATTACAAAGTGTTACGGGAACAGTAGTTTGACAAGGACCCTACTCAGACGAGCTTACAGTCTAGAGGAGGTGGGGTATAAAAAACACAATAGAGTATCAAGGGGACAGCAAACAAACAAGCTGGGTAAGTAGTGGAACTGGAGGTGAGACTGGAGTGTGGCCTTTTAGGGGAGAGCAAGAGACAGGTTTGTAAAATAGAAGTTACTCTGGGAGGCCATAAGCATTTCTGAACAGATGGGTTTTGAGGAACTTCTTAAGTAATTGGAGACTGGGGTAGAGTCTGATGGCGGTTTACGCCATAAGCATTGCTGGAAACACTGCAAGTAAAGCCTGCAAGTATCCCATAACTGCTAGGGTGCCCCAACATACTAAGAATTGTGTCATGTCCATTTCCTGATGCTGTATTGATAATAGAGTCATCTTTTTTGGTTATACATCAGCTGATGATTATGCCGGCACAGTGCCTTGTTTTAATATATACCTACCTTGTGGATCTTAGATTCACTTCAGGCTACAAACAAATAAATCATATTTATATTCAGTTAAAAGTACATGAAAACTGTACTTCTTATTAGAATAGAATACAACACATTTAAAGCTTTAATTTGCTTGTCATTGATTGGCTCAGTGTTTAAAGGGTTACCCCAAAAATTAGAGTTAACCAAAAAACCACTACAGCAACCGTTTGCCCTCCTAACTCGGTTCTTCGAAGCGCCGAGCCTCCTCAGAATAGGGTGATGCGCATCCAGCTTCTGCAATGTTTCAGAAGACAGATGTCTTTTCACCAGTCGTCCAATCGGTGACCAATTGTGCACAGAAAAATGCACAGAATTGACATTAGCCAGCTCGAAACTCCTATTCCTGACACCTTCGGCAGCAAAGGGCTATATTTATGAATGCGCACTTACAGACTTAGAGCACCATAACCACTTCAGATTACTAAAATGACTAATCCTCTCTGTTTGTCCACCCTTGCTCCCAACCTCTGTCCACCCTTGCTGCTCCCTCTCTCCCTTTCCATTAGCCATGTGCCCAGCCCCATCCCCCAAACTAGCTAGCTATGTTTTTAGTCCGCATACCCCCTGTCCCTTTCCATTAGCCATATTTCTAGTCCCTTCGGCCCGTAGTCACATTTCCCTCTGCTTTTACCATAAGCAGGGGGCAGTGCTTAGAGCTCTGGTGAGCACAACTAACTTTGCTGGACAGTATCTGTATGGACTGGAACTCAGGCTGTTCTTCTGGCTCCCGTAAGCTCTGAAAGGACGGGAGGTATGTAGGAGGGTTTTAATTGGCAGTGTAGGTGCCCCCATCAGACATGTGCTTGTAGACAGGTGCCTACTATGTCTAATAGGAAATCCGGTCCTTTGTGGGCGGGTCCATGATGGGCATTGCCAATGATGCAACCCACATCACAAGTGTTGCCCATAATGAGCAGCCCCATCCACTGGCAGGCTCTCTGGCTGAGCCGGTCCACTGGCAGGCTCTCTGGTCTGGCCCCTTCCACTAGCAGGCTTTCTGGCCTGGCCCTGTCCACTAGCAGGCTCTCTTGCCGGGCCCTCCCAATGACAAGCTCTCTGGCTGTGCCCGTCCACTAGCAGGCTCTCTGGCCGGGCCCTCCCAATGACGGGTTCTCTGGCTGTGCCCATTCACTAGCAGGCTCTCTGGTCTTGCCCTGTCCACTAGCAGGCTCTCTGGTCTGGCCCCATCCACTAGCAGGCTCTCTGCTCTGGCCCCGTCCACTAGCAGGCTCTCTGCTCTGGCCCTGTCCACTAGTAGGCTCTCTGGTCTGGCCCTGTCCACTAGTAGGCTCTCTGGTCTGGCCCTTTCCACTAGCAGGCTCTCTGCTCTTGCTCCGTCCACTAGTAGGCTCTCTGGTCTGGCCCCGTCCACTAGCAGGCTCTCTGGCCGGGCTCTCCCAATGACAAGCTCTCTGGCTGTGCCTATTCACCGGCAGGCTCTCTGGCTGTGCCCGTCCACTAGCAGGCTCTGTGGCCTGGCCCCGTCCACTAGCAGGCACTCTGGCCAGTCCCAGGATGCAGGGAGCACGAGCATGTCTAATGATGTGCTTGTGCTGTGCGGTCCCTAGATGCGGGACACCAGGGAACTGAAAGAGTACAGGATCCAGAAAGCGGAATTGTTGGGAGACCTGGAATAGTATTAAGCTGTGAGTTACAACATCATTATATAATACATAACCCAGGACATTTGTGTCACCTCGTGTCCTTTCTAGTAAAATACGGGTTTCTGTTTTGTGTACCTAGACACCCATACAGTGGCATCATTGGAACCAATGTGGCAGCATTAGATGAGTCACTGTGTTCCTGCAGTGTGGTCTGTGTCAGGTCAGTGAAAGTCATATGGCAGTCATACATCCATCATAAAACCTTGAAAATAGCTACCTAAATAAATTCCACATGTACTTAAAAAAAAGCTATACATGCAAATGTTACAAACAGCAATATTTTGTATATTTGTCAAATTATTAAATGTACATAGTGCAGCATGACGATTTACAAGTCCATTATTAATATTAGCAGAATAGATTATTAGATTATTATACTCCTATACTGCAGAGCTGTACAACATGGGATGAGACATATGACATATCAAAATGGCATGCATGTGAACAAAACTTTGATTGCTACCTACAGAGGCTGTAAAAGGTATATGACTTGAGCAGAGGACCAGGAGACATACCGGTAGTTGTTTTAAAGGCTTTGTTAAGGGTTGAAGAGTAGGATAAAGCCTAATTGATTGGTGAAGAGGATTCAGTAAGGATGATGCAGCTATAGAGAGGTCTAAGAAGTGGATGATGGCGATTGGTGTTTAAACAGTACAAATGCGCAAGTCTTCAGCAAAACGTGGAGAGGGGTGAATGGGACATGCTTGTTTGTTAGTGATGTTATGTATGTTGTGGGCCCTCTTATAGGGTAAGTACTAGAATTTTTAATTGAACTTGAATAGTTATAGGGAGCAAGAGATGTGAAGTATGGGTAGAGGAATCCATCAGTAAAGATGAGCATTAAAGGGTTCAAGCAATATGACCATGTCAGTGTTTTGAAGTTGTTATGGAGCTTGGAGTCTGTATGGGCAGTATTTCCGTTTAGAACCCTGCACATACATAGTTAAAGCATTTTGCAGCTGGAGGTGTACCTGTAACTTCATCTTTGTCTGCGTCATTAGCCATCCCAGAATAATAAAAATAAGACACAGTTTTTAGTTGGAGTATCCCTTTAACAAGCATTTTTAGCTGCATTGTGCGTTAGGAAAGGGTGGATATGGGTAAAGTTGAAATTGGCAGGATTTAAAGATTGACTAGACGTGGGGAGTGAAAAAAAACAGATCAGAGTGAAAGAGAACTTACTGGCAGCGAGCCTGTAGGCTCTACCTTATGGTAGCACAACTGACCCGAAAGGATCCTAAAAAACAGATGATAAATGCCTAAAGGAATAAACGAGATGCTGCTTTTTGCAGAGATGTAATGCCTTAAAGGCAGGAGCTGTATGGTTGACGTAATTGGATGACATGATGCGTCAGAGAGAGAACGTGGTTGTTTATTGATGAATGTTTTATTTGGAGGGGAAGGGGAGCTCAGCTTTATCAATCCATTAATCAATGAGATGTGTTAGTTGAATGACTAAAGAAGATATTTTCAAAAAGGGGTGTCAGTTCCTTACACATGTGCACCTCATCCAGAATGCTTGCTGTCCATGCCATAAACAAGACTCTAAAGCTTATATTGCACAGGACAACCTAACCCAAAATTAAATAATAATGGCTCTACTCTACATTAGAGTATACATGTAATCTTCATGCAAATAAACAGGCTTTTATATTTAAAAAAAATAAATAAAAAAAACTATACAAACTAAACAAAACCCACAATAAATCACGTTGGGTTAATCCAGCCTCTAGTGGCTGTCTCATTGACAGCCGCTAGAGGTGCTTCTCACTATGATTTTCATTGAGAATGCTTTCCTATGGACTGGCCGCACATGCGCATTCAGCTGATGACATCAGAAGAGGGAGGATAGTCCCCAGCGCCGAGGGAGCCCGGCGCTGGAGAAAGGTGAGTGTTTAACCCCTTCCTTCCGGTGGGAGTGGGACCCTGAGGGCACCATTTGATGGCACAATATATACTGGTAGATAATGTTAGATGATGCTATGGCAGGAGCTGTTTTTTATGTCTACAGCTGAAACACTCATAATTGCTGATTCACTTTAAAAGGACTTATCAATACTATGGTGACACGGCTTGCCGGTAAAGCACAATTTGTACGCTGCTCCTTCTGGCGAAGTAACAATACCATTACCACTAAGAGTCAGGAGCATCTTAAAGGCATGTACTCCCACCTAACCCAAAATCACCTTCTAAGCACCCTGACCCAACTCTAAGTGCGTATTCACCACCTTATCCCGAGTATCAGTTAAACCATTATTAACTGTGCTCTAATGACACAGCACTTAAATGCTCTATATTTAAAACGTGATTTATTGTGGGTTTTGTTTAGTTTGTATAGTTTTTTTTTTTTTATATATATATCGGATTATAGGATGATAAATCTTGCATATAAACATCTGGTGGAAACCATCTATGTGCAATCCATTACAGAAACACTATAGAGTCACAAACACAAATATATATTTCTGACCCTATAGTGTTAAAAACACCATCTAGCCCATCTGACCTCCCCTAAATATAGTAAAATCTTACCTTTATTCCAGTCTGCTGGAGCCTGCTCTGCCCCGCAGAAGTTATGATCTCAGTCAATCATAATGATTTTACATAGGATTGGCTGAGAATTAATCAATGCATTTCTATGAGGAAAGTTCAGTGTCTTCATGCAGAGGGTGGAGACACTGAATGGCGTACAGAAGTGCCCCATGAAGCACCTCTAGTAGCCATCTAAGGAGTGGCCATTGAAGATATACCTTGGCTCTGGTAGACAGCCACTAGAGGAGGAGTTAACCCTAAGAGGTAATTATTGCAGTTTATAAAAAATGAAATAATTACTTGCTCAGGGTTAAGGGTGATGGGAGTTGGCATCCAGACCACTTCAATGAGCTGAAGTGGTCTGCGTGCCTACAGTGTCCCTTTAAGCATGCTGTTACCGTTTACCTTTCCAATGCATTGTTCTGCTGTTTTGTTCTTGTTGCTACTGTCCACTGTCTGTATCCGATGTTTCAGAAAATCTATTAAGAATAAAAAAGTATTTGTGTTTCAATATTTAATATACTTTGTTAAATAAACATGTAAATCAACATTTATAATCTTCTTGATTTTCTGTTTTCAGACAGGAAGAGAGGTATTTAACGTGTCTTTTTTTTAAGCATTATAAATTGGCTTATTATGTGGTTTATAGTGAGTCTACAGACGGAGGTTTAATTTGCATGTTGCAGCAGATGGAGGAATCTAAAGCAGGCAGAATGCAAGTACAGACAGAGACTAGATTTACATACAGACCGCTTGCTTTGTCATTGATGGTGGAAGAATGCTGCACTGTATAATATTGTGCTACGAAAGAGAGGCAATGACAACTGGCTTTATAACCCTGCTTACCTTTAAATACAGCCTAAGTGTGCCATGCAGGTCTCTGGCTTATATCAAAAGTGACAGAAATCAGAGTTTGATTTATCCTAGGAAAAAGAGAGAGAATGCATTCCTTGTCCTATAAAGAACATTCTAAAGACCATAACCACTACAGCTGTCCCACTGTTAACAGCTAAACCATTTTGAATTGTTTGACACATTCTTGAGTCTCACAGACACTGGCAGTCCATCCCCTCTTTGTACTAAAGTGGAATTTCCTTTCTGCTTTAAAAATAACAATTATTCCTAGTTTTGAATAGAACGTATTGGCTGTGGAGTGTCGGATTCAAAGCAATGAAATTCAGAGAAACTCCTTGCAAAACGTATTGGCAAAAATGCTAGTCTGTCTAAAGTAGCAAATATTTAAAGGGACACCAAATTGGAAGTTACCAGTTAAAAGAAAAAATAAATCTTAATAGCATTTTTACAGATTGTCGCAAATATGGAGCTTTTTCAGGAAGCAGGAAGTAGCTAAGGTTTCACAGCCTATCCTAGTCTTCCCATTGATATCAACAGTGTACAGTGTACACATATTATAATCTCCTGCCTAGCAGAGATATGAGAGAGCTGCAGTTTCGATTTGTCTACCTACTAAGATCCTCCTAGCTTGACGTATATTCATTTGTGGGGGAGGGAGGGTATGAATGAAGTTCCTTACGATAGTTAAAGCTCTATACAAGCTCTCTCGTCAAAGAGTGTAGAAGTGCTTGTGTATTTTCCCTCGGTGATATCATACAGTGAGGGGATAGGTATAAGCTTATAATGATTTTTTTTCAATTGGTGCTGAGATAATGAACAGTATAAAGTATGAGAAGGACATGGAAATTTGCTCCTTAATGTGGACAAAGGACATACATAGCGTTGTGTTGAAGAAGATCTAGATCTCTGTACAGCAGGGGTAGACAACCTTTTAGTAGTACTGAGCCAAAACAAGATCTTTAAGTCCCTTGGCGTGCCCGTCCTATTTTTTTTTTCAATTGAGGTGTGTATGTTGCCATATTGTGCTTGTGTTATTTTTCGGTGCTGCAGTTGCTTTGTAGTGTTGTATTTGTGTGTATGTGGGCTGTTATATTGTATACTGTATGTTCATGAGTAGTTTGTGTATGATACCAATGAATGTGTGCTGTGTATGGGGGCTGCTTGTGGAATTGTGTGTGTGGATGATATGTCACATTGTGTGTTTGATGGTGTGTGTATGTGTGGTGCTGTTTGTGGGGTTGTGTGCATGTATGTGGATTAAGTGTTGTTATGGTTGTGGGGACTGTATGTGTGTTTGTGTGTAGGCTATTTGTAGTATTTTTATGAGGGGGCGGCTTCTTATGCAGCTCTGTGTATATGTATATATATATATATATATATAACTGTGTGAATGGCTTCTCTGGGGTCTATTGGGGACTGGACTGACCTGCGTCAGGCAGTGTGGATTCCCATTCACAAGTGCTGGGAGGAATTAATCTGAGATCACTTACTCTAAGTGCAGCAATGTGTAGACTGAGGATTGTCCCTCACCACCTGCAATCACCGCTCAGTTTGCACTAGCAAATATCTGAAATCCCACTGGGACTCCAGATAGGCCAGAGCCTGTTTGGTTCTGGCAGCCTTGAGTGCCATAGGTTTCTGAGCCCTGTTATAGAGCATCATATCTATTTACTGTACAGAATTACAGAACATCATATCTATTTGCTGTATGATACAAGTAAGCATTTACTGTACAGATTCAATATTACAAATAGTAAGAAGCATATACATATATATATATATTAACGTTCATGTTGTTCTGGGTGAGAGTAGGGAGGGTTGCATTCCTTTTTATATGTTGAGAAAAACAAGTAGCAAGAGAGGTGAGAATGGATAACAACTCAATTAGCCTGCCCTTCGGTGGGACTTGTGCCATTACAGAGAGAACATATCTGAAGCATATCAGACTGGTCCCACCCGTACGGCCAGTCCAGATCCCAAATGCCAGCAAGTTCTCTCTGCACGAGAGACACAGCAACCCCAGATGATCGTTAAACCCTGTAAGGTATCATCAGTGATGTATAGCCAATATCCCTCTAGGCACCGTGAGCAAGGGGTCCACGGCTGGATTGACCTTTAAACTTAAGGAGAGAAAAACAAGTAGCAAGAGAGGTGAGAATGGACAACCGCTCAATTAGCCTGCCCTTTTTCTCTCCTTTTTATATGTTGTCTTACTCCTCCGTGAAGGGAACCTATAGTCCTTAAAATAACAAACATTATTTCAGGACTACAGATTCCCTTATGTTCCCCTCTTCAGGCATGAAGAAATTATAGCATAGAAATTAAAGTAATGATTACTCACCTCCTTTTCAGCAACGGGACTCCTCCGCTGCGGCCTCCAGCCCTGTCTCTAGTGATGGCAGCACCCAAGCAGACAACACCTCCGATCTCCATCAATATATTGCTTCTCACTGAAAAGCAATGGTTTGGAACTCGGTACGCGCGGCCAAACGCTGCTCTCCTCCAATCAAATAATGCTGTGAGACAGCCGCTGGAAGTGTATTTAACCCTAAAAAGACAGGGCCACTGCACCCAGACCAGAGATGAAGTGGTCTGGGTTACTTTAGTGATCCTTTCATATTGCATTATACGATCACAATCAAATGTACAGGTTAAAAGATATACTTATATGGTGATAACTTCCTCCATCTGCAATATGGCCTCCAGGAATGGACAGGGTGCCCTCAAATAATGTGAACAGTATCCTACAGTTTTTGGGTATCGCCACATCCCTTGTAGTAGTGCCATTATGTGAGTGCATGGCAATAACCAGTAAGGTGATCAGTATAAAAAATTTGAATTAGAGTTTAGCACTTTTTAGAGAGGTGTTTTTATTTCTACAAAAATGACACCAAATATCTGGCATGACAGTTGGAGTTGGAAAGCGATATTCATCAAATGCCATGTTTGACCCTGCTCACAGATGGGAGTACTTTGATGAACAGACTTGTAAAGGTAGCGAAAGAGCCATATTCAGGGTGAGAAGAGGGTGGCCAGCAGGGACAGTGTCAGAAGTAGAAACCGTTGCTAGGTAACGGATAATCAGATTAATGATTGCAGTGCACGCTAATGGTAATCTCCGGTATCTGTCAGAGTAGCCTGTTACAGAAACAAAACACTATATTGACAGAATTTGTTAAAGAAAGATCAATTCAAGCGTAGCTTCTGCCTGTGAAGTATTCGAACAAGAGATTTTTGTAAAAATATCTGTCATTACAAGCAATAAGGAAGTGACACAGGACCTCCTTGCACAATAACCTGTGGAAGAAACACAGTTTTCTGTGATGCATGGAGAGTCCATTTAAAGCCCAACAAAGGAATGGACCAGCACAAAAATGGAGAGGGCCCTGTCCCCAAGGGCGGGGAGGGGTGTCAGTCTGCTATGAATGCACACCAGGCTGATCGCGTACCTCCCAACATTTCAAATGGACAAAGAGGGACAACCACCTCCATCTTAGCCCCCCCATATTGAGAATTTTAACAAAAGAACATTCCATTTGTTAGATCAACCTTTTTTTCCGTTAGATCTACTCTAAAATATGCAATATTAAAGCCCACAAAGTCGTTCAGTGAATACCGCCTCTTGCGTGATAGATCTAACAAAAAACAGTGGATCTTACCTGATCTAACGAATATCTACTAAAATTAGTAACATTTTGCCCAAATTTCAGTTGGGAGGGGGGGCAGCCCCCCGCAGCCCTCCCCCTAATTATATATGCAATATCTCAGTAATTAGACTAGATCTAACAAATATTTTTGCCTGAACAAACCTGATCTAATGCAGAACTATCATAATCAACAACATTTTGTGCACGTTTTTGTTGAGGGGAGGCTGGCTACGGGTTAGCCCCCCTGAAAATGATTGTTAATATCGCATATTTTAGAGTTGATCTAACAAAAAAAATTGTTGATCGAACAAAGATCTAACAAATGGATTAATCTTTTGTTAAAATTCTCAATAAGGTGGGTGGCTAACCTGTGGGTGGTAGAGGGAGACTTACTAATAGCAATTTATGCAACTAAAATGCAATTTGGGCAGCTAGTGGGGGCTAAAATTTTATTCTGCCAGTTGCCCCACCTATTTTGCCCCATCCATGGGCAGCAGATAGGGCTGAAATATCATGACAGGGGGAGACTTGCCTTTCAAGCCATGCTCATTACCATTAAAATAGGAATAAAAAGTTGTGGAAAAACTGATTATTTTGGTGCACTAAAGAAATGGTGAGAAAAGAACGCCAATGCGTAAAGGGTGAAGTACCAATTTTAAATGTAAGCAAATGGCGCATGAGCACAAAACGGGCATGAATGTGAAAGTGAATGCATCACGTTTTTACACTTAACCCCCATGATAAATTATTTGTGCTTATAAACAATACATGGAGGTGCTGCCCAGTCGTATATAGAATTCATATGCTGTGGGCTGGAAATCGATTAATTAATCAATGAGGAATCCAAAATGAACTGGTTTCAGGTTTCTCTATGACTGTGTCATAGCAGAACTTTCCATATGTTTACCATTAACATGTAGAATTATAATACTTTAAGTAAAACACGATTTACTGTTCAATCCTACTTGTACATACTGCGGATATTACATGAAAAGTTCTACCCACACTGTGATTAATTACTGTGCTCAAAGAAGGAAATCAGTTCATAAGTCAAAAAGGAATTTCCCAGCTGGCCATCGTTAGAAGTGATTTGATTCCCTTTCTGCAGTAAACGATTGCTACATACCTCAGGGAAGCACTTTTCATGTGGTGTCCATTAACTCGTGGATGGGAAGTATGGCAAGCAAAGCAAGATCTGGTGCAGGTGATCATGGAAACATACAGATGTTCAAGGATGTCCTCAGTCCAGCTGTTTTAGACTAACATTTAAAATTTGTATGTTCTTATGTAACAACGTGGGAGTTAGGTAAAAAAAACAAAAAAACTCAGCTAGTAAACGCCAGTCTCATTTGTAGCTAATTTAAATTTAGGACAAATTTGGTATAAAAAAATAAATAAAAAAATCCACCCACTCGGCTATTATAACAGCTTGATTATTTCAGTATAAAGTTTACAATTTGGTGTTTATTTTCCTACAATTCAACGTTTAGTGTAGGGACCCCTATCTCTAAGGGTTTCATTCTGATTTTTTTTTTTTTTTTTTTTAAACATCACCTTTATGTGCAACCCTGGCCTATTGAATTGAAAGCATCCCAAGTAAAGGGATATTATTATTATTTTATTATTTTTTACAATACTTATTGCTGACATATCTTAATTAGATAGCTAAAGACTGTATGTATGGAATTATGAAATGTCATCTGCGTGAGTCACAATAATTATCAGGTCATTCACAGACAATAACCAAATACATATTAAAAAAAATCTTACATATCGAATGACCATCTTTACAATAAATCTATACATTTGCTTTTTTGAAATCTTAGTTTAATTCGATTTCTATAATAGAAAGCACATGCAATAAAAACTCAGGTCATGACAGCAATTTAAGCCCCAGGATTGACTGATACTTGAGTTTTAGGTATATTTTAAACAGATTTATCCACAAAACACTGAATTTAAGTTGATTCAATCCCAACCTCCTAAATTTAGGCTTAGCCAACCTTTGAATAAATTTAAGTTTTTGCCCAAATTATAAAAAAAAATTTCACGTATATTTGCTGCACTGTATGCTGTCTAGAACTGAGAAAGAGACTGGTAACTATAAGCCAAAATAATTTGAATTCTAAATCGGCTACTTTGGCCTAAAATCCCCAACGCTTCTCTTGGTTTCCCCACATATCACAGGTCAGTGATTAACCATGTCAGACGTATTCGGTAAAAACAGAATTGTCAGGAAGGGAATGTCAAGTTTAAGGCCAGGAAAGCTGAGCTGGAATTGGGAGAATTTTTCCTAATTTGTCTATTTCAGCCTGCTATTCCCTGTTCATCTTCTGATAATTCACTGTTTAGTGAATAAGCCTGAGCTCTCTGATTGCAATCCTAAAATAAATAAGAAAAATCACCTTGTTCAGCTTATTAAACACATCCCTCAAAATATATGACGGTTTCAATAAGAAAGTATTTTTCATGTTTAGTATCCTCTCTCTGTCAATGTTTTTTTCTGGCATAACTAATGTGTCTTTTACTAAAACTGTGCTTTTGAGGTTATTTGGCACACTAAGGGTTATTGAGGGTAGGGGGAATCTGGTCAGCTGACACTTCCTCTATATTTAAGCTAACCAGACTTAATTTCAGTGGCTGGTTTGGCCTCTTTCAATATATAGAAATGGACTGCAGTGTTAGAAACATAATGGAGTAGTTTGCTCAAATGTATTGATGATCATCAAGATGTGTGCATTAACTAACCATAGGGGAGTATCTCTGCACATGTGACTGCAGTAAAACTAATTGTGTTTTTTGTTCTGTTATGGAGGCAATTAACCTATCTGTCACCAACATTATAGGAAATATTAGAGTTGAAGGAAGAAATCCTTTAATGCTAGCAACCACTTATCAGTGCAGGGCTAATTCTGTCTAAAGTGTGACTGTGAAGATGTATCAGTTAATGAAAGCTTCACTTCGTTGCTTTTTAATCCTTCTACCTCTTCCAGTGCAGGATTTCTTGTGGCCTGGTGATAGATTGGAGGGGATGAGATTTGGTTGCATCTATAGAAGGAAGGACCAAGTTGGGTTTGATGCAGGTGTCCAGAAAAAGACTGCTGTAAAGTCTCAGGTTGGCCTAGCCTCTTCCCCTTGGGAAGTTGGAACTCAACATTTTTGGGAATCCTGGCAGACTGTTGATTGGCACCTGTGTTCTCCATTTTTGTTGCAGACCTTGCAGAAGAGCTTGGGGCTTTCCAGACCATGTCATGAGATGGAACCAGTAGTGAAGCATGGGCAGGTACACCAGGGATGTATAAAGGTTGATGGTGGCTCTTCTAAATATGACTTAACTGCAGTTCAGGATTCCAAGATTGTTGAAGAAATAGACTCTGCTTCTAGATCTGGTTTAATCAAAAACTTTGCAAGCCCTTTAGAAACCTCATTCCACAACGAAGTCCCTTTCCAAATCACAATGGCTAACTGTGACACAGAATTGGCTATCAATTCTGACTTGATGTTAAAGTCTCTGGAGGCCTCAGAGACCGAATTAAATCACACTTTTGAAAGGAACTTGATGGCTGATATTGTACTTAGGAGAAATTCTAGGTCCTTGCTAGGTATTGGGGAATGGCTGGCAGATGAGGCTTTAGGCACACTTTATTACCTAGAGGATTCATTCTCTTCATCCATAGATCTGGGTTCACATATTGATGAAAATATATGGCCACCACTAGATCCAGGTGATAACTTTGACACACTTGCCAATGGATGGCCAGAGCTAGAAAATGAGGAGAGTATTGGGCTCCCCCTAGAGGTTGATTTTGGATATGGAACATTTCCAGGAATTGAATGCTATGGAATTGGAGGTTGTGTAGATCTGATGGACATTGCTACTACAGCTGAGAATGGCTATCAGGAAAAAAATGGAGTAATAGAAGGAGGCAGCTGCAGTAAGGAAGATTACATCAGGCAAGATAAATACAGGTATTTCCACCCTTTAGTTCTCTCTACCACTCCTACCTCCTAGTTCCTGTAATCTATGTCTGCTGGAGCAGAGGTGTCAAGCTACATTCCAAAAATTTCTTGCACTTTTCTGTAGCCACTAGGTGGGTTAACCAAGTTTTAAATAGAATGCTTTTCTCTTCTGTCCTTTGGAAACCTCAGGTCTATTATTGTACTGTAGCTTAAGCAGGAACAACATGTTGGGGTTTATTCGCTAAACAGTGAACTAGAAATTAGATTGCAAAGTTATAGATAAAAGTACTTGATTTGGGAAAAATATTTAAGTCAACTATTTGTTTACATTTTGCAGTTCAGTGAATTTTGATTGTGATTCAACACCTCGTGTTTACCCCATGCACCACCCACACGTTTTCTGTAGTTCTCAAATAGCCTTTCTACCACTTTTTTTTTTTTTTTTTTTTTTATCCTGATTTTTACTTCATATTAGTCAGTATAAAGTTTAATTTTTCATGTTCCTTCTCAGCAGCAAACTTGCTTCACATTTTTACAAAGCATTTAGGAGTCTGGGCCAAGACACGTGAGCCTTGAACTCATACTCACTTGGGTTTTAATACCATATTAAATTGTGTCCACATATGGCTCGTATTGTACATGATTTGCATACTCAAATTAAATGTACACTGCAGGCACGATAACCACTTCAACATGTTATAGTTCCTGACTTCTGTATGTGCAAAGTCTCATATAACTACGTTCTCTATCCATTTAGTATAGATGGAATGGAAATGGACACTGAAACTGCTGTGCTTTGTTTTAAAGCCACAACACACACACAACATCCGGTAAACACATATTCTAAATATCTGACTGACGTATATTCTCTGAATTTACCACTCAATAAAATATACTATAATTAAATAAACCTGTTCAGTTAATGGCAGACTTGTGTAGAAATTTTCTATTTTCAAAACTGTAAAAACTGTACTTTCAAAACTGTAAATGTACACCGGTACCAGCTATTGGTTTGAATGGCCACTAATTATCGATATCTGCCCTAAAAAAAGCAATTTCGGTTGATACTGAACAACCATTACAGCGTGTTTGTAGCTTGCCATTTGTATAAATAATGAGGAGGTGAAATGTTAGCATTATTTAAGGGATATTCTAGTGTTGGAAATAGTTTTTTTTTCTAGAACTATAGCTCCCTAGTGCACCCCCCATCATACAAGGTAAGAGTTAATAAAACCTTACTGCACATAAAAATAGGGGAACTTCATTACGTAACAGGAAAACAACCTGAGAGGAGCCCTGTCAGAGGGCAAGAATAAGCATGCAGATATAAACTTACAAACCCCCACACTCACTGGGCACGTATTACAATATAGCACCATGGTGGCCCACACAATCAACCTCTACAGCTACCCCCTTAGAGGACAACTCCCTGCACACATGGATGATTGCGGCCTATAACCCGCTATATCCTACAAGGCACAGGTTATTTGACCGCCGACTCACACCTTACAATAATTCAATTACACTTCACATAATGCCAACCACGAAACAGCCCGAACACTCGGAGGCAAAATTGCCACTGTCTCCTCCAATTTAAAAACAAACCAAAGCAAATATCTAAACCCCGGTGTAACTTAAACATTAGTATACACTATGAGTAGAATCGTACTGCACTACTAGATATATCTTTTAACTGCTACATATCAGTTAAATAACAATATAAACCGATCGACACAGGCCAGCAGGACCATACTCTACCAATTTAGCTGCACTACTAGGCTCTCAAGCAATGTCTCTGTTTTTGCCAAAGCTAATCTAACCTCACATAATAATGTCAATGTTTGGATGTCTCTACCTTGACTCGCTAGACCTCTTAGGATCTAATCTGTCTTCTGTACCAAACTTGATATGCACCTTGTCCCTTCTCTTTTTTGTTGTACCCAACTATGCACTGCTATAACAAAAAAAAACAACAATTAAAAATTGAATGTCAAAAAACCTTACTGTACTTACCCACTTCCAGCGCTGAAAAACGGCAAGAATTACCATTGCAGATTTAAGGGGACAGGGTTTGGGGGTGACCCTGGATATCCTCATGCATAGTGTGAGGATGTCCAGCATCAGTTAGGCAACCAAAAGACTCCTAATGACCCAGAAGTTGCCCTAGTGGCTGTTTGATAGACAGCCATTAGAGGTGGAGTGAACCCACAAAGGTAAATATTGTAGTTTCGTAAAAACTGCAAGAATTACCTTTGCTGGGTTAAGGGACCTGGGAATATGCACCCAGACCACTTCAATGAGCTGAAGTGGTCTAAATGCCTATAGTGGTCCGAAGTTATAAGTGCCAGGAAAACCTATTTTTGTATTTTTTTTTATTTTATCTCTCTATCTATCTCTCAAACACAGCCTAACTGTTAACACTAGACATGGGTTTTTAAAACTCCCTTACTTATTTGTAATTCTATGTCTGGCAGAAAATGACAGGAAGCAAATGATGGTGTTCAGCATTATTTATCCATGGTGTAAAGTTCACAACAAGCACAACTTGGGCTGGAGTCCAAAAAAGGATTAAAATTTTTATTTATTTATATTTTTCCTTTTCATCAGACAGTGTGAAGAGGCAGCATTCTGTACATTGTTTCACAGTGCTTTCTGGATTGGTATGCCAGTAAATATTTGAGATGTGAAAGCACTTGGAAATACACCAGGATTACTGTGATTTCAAATGGTGTATTGTGCACTTTAAGCGGCACTGGTGACATGGTCTTCTGGTGGGTCCTCTTCTGCTGCTAATGCAAAGGTTGCATGCCTGAGAGTACAGCATTGAGTTCTGTGGACGATCCCTTGGGATCCTCTATAGAGCCATTTCCCTGCAGCCTTCGGCGTACACCTCTGGGATTGGTGCTCATTGACGGCAGTCGCGCTACACAGTGTCTACAAATGTCAGGCTTGGGGAAGAAAATACTACATTCTCTCAGCAGATCTTTTGACTGTTTTTGAATTTTAGTGACATTCCAACACAGTCCGTATTAATGTGTATATGCCAATAAACCACTCTCCTGTTCAGTGCCAGGAAGTACACCAAACGTCCTGACTGCATGTTTTTGCAGGTAGCTCTGCATTATAGGACATTTTATGCCTCCACTTTTACTTTATTTTAATTAGGGGTGAACTCGGGGCCAGACTTGCATTACAAGCACTTGAAGACAGATCATTCTCAAGTGTTCCAAATACCATCTTCCAAAAAAAAAAAAAAAAACCCCACTCACACAGAAAACTTTGAAAACTCATAGACTGTGTGTTCACATGTGTAACAGTATGTGGATAGTGGTCTGTAGGTATGGTTTTTAATTGTGTGTAGTCATTTGAGTTAACCCTTTTGGCCCTTGTCCTCTTTCTTCCCCCAGGAGATTGCTGTGTTCGGTCTCTGCGGACAGGGTCACGCAGAAATAGGTCTCTCTCAGACTAAATACAGCAATCTCAGTCTAGCAGAAGGTGTGCTCTTAAAAGGACACTCTAGACTAGAGCAGGCTTCCCCAAACTCCGGCCCTCCAGATGTTGCTGAACTACAACTCAGCCTTTCTATTTAATTCATAGAATCATGGGAGTTGTAGTTCAGGAACATCTGGCGGGCCGGAGTTTGAGGAAGCCTGGTCTAGACCTTTAGTTTGCTGATATGCTTTGTGTGAAGTGTCCTTCCTACCCTCCCCCACCCAATTTTACAAAATAGATTTCAATAGAAATTGGCACACTTCCAACATAACTCCTTAAAGACAACCGGTCCTGTCACTTCCTGGTTATTTAGCTAAATGGAGTTAAACTCAATGCAGCCAATTGCCCAGAGCACCTGCCTTGCAAAGACATCTCAATGAGTTGTGTTAAAGTCTGTTATTGGACAGCCACAGAAAGTCAGGAATGGGGAAGGGGTTTTTTCCAAAGATGGCAGACAAAACTTTTGCAAGCTGTTTTTCGATGTACCCCAATTGAGGGGAAGCATAAATAAATGCATGCATATATTAATTTGGGTCTATCTACTAAACAGTGATTTATTTATTTTTTGTATTGTAATTAAGCAGTGGATTGTCCCTTTTAACATGCAGCAAACCCTACTACCTGCTTTGCCCAATGGAAATCCAGCCTTTGGTGGATTGAACGCTGCCAAATCTGTTGTGGGTTTAGGGTCTTAAAGGACAACTATAGTGCCAGGAAAACAAACTCGTTTTCCTGGCACTATGGAGTCATTAGGTCTCTCCCCCCCTCTTCAGCCACTTACCTTTCTCCAGCGCCGGGCTCCCTCTGTGCTGGGGAACTCTCCACCCTCTGCCGACGTCAGATCTGCATGCGCTGCAAGAGCCGCGCATGCATTCAAACCACCCATAGGAAAGCATTACTCAGTGCTTTCCTATGGACGTCCAGCGTCTTCTCACTGTGATATTCAGTGAGAATCGCGGAAGCGCCTCTAGTGGCTGCCACTAGAGGCTGGATTAACCCCAAATGTAAACACAGCAGTTTCTCTGAAACTATGTTTTCAGCTGCAGGGTTAAAACTAGAGGGACCTGGCACCCAGACCACTTCATTGAGCTGAAGTGGTCTGGGTGCCTATAGTGGTCCTTTAAGGATTGAAGGCCCCGGTCACAACTCTATTTAGAGCAATTGGGCATTCAAAGAGTAGGATGTCTAATCTAGTTTGATGTATTGTTTACATAGTTTATGTAAATCAAGGTGGTTTTTTTTTGTTTTTGTTTTTTTAATTTTCTTTTTAATTTTTTTTTTTAATATAATCATGTGCACGGATCCATTTTTCATTTGTAATTTTTGTAGTAATTTGTTTTTGAGGATCGTACCTAGATATGTATAACTCTTAGACGTAGGTGTGCAGTTTCTATATATAATTTTTTTTTTATTTTTTTTTTTTAGCTTTTTGATTCACTTGTGCAGTGCTTGGTAATAAAATGTCTGCATTTGTGTGTTGGCTTTATTGTGTAATGTAGACAGGAACTGACAAAGGGGACTTTACTTGGATGTTCATTCACTAAACTGGAACGCGTGGAGAACTAGAAAGAAAATGTTTGTTGTTTTTACCATGTCTGCTAGTTAAATTTTTTTTTTATATATAATCTTTGTAAATACATCCCCCTAATAGTTACATAGCTGAAAAGAGACTTGGGTCCAAGTTCAGACTTCCTCACATGGTTTTTTGCTGTTGATCCAAAAGAAGGCAAAAAAAACAGTCTGAAGCACTTCCAATTTTGCAACAAACTAGGAAAAAAATCCTTCTTGACCCCAGAATGGCAGTCAGATTTATCCTTGGATCAAGCAGTTATTACCCTACATTGAAAGATAATATCCTTGAATTTTTGGGGTTTTTTTGCAAGTAGGCATCTAGTTGCTGTTTGAACATCTGTATGGACTCTGATAAAACCACTTCTTTAGGCAGAGAATTCCACATCCTTATTGTTCTTACAGTAAAAAAAAACCTTTCCTTTGCCTTAGATGAAATCTTCTTTCTTCCAGTCTAAACGCATGACCTTGTGTCCTATGTAAAGTCCGGTTTGTGAATAGATTTCCACACAATAGTTTGTACTGGACCCGAATATATTTGTATAATGCTATCATATCCCATTCAAGTGACTTTTTGCTATCATATCCCATTCAAGTGACTTTTTTTTCTAAACTAAATAGGTTTACATTTGTTAACCTTTATTCATAGCTGATATATTCCATTCCTTTGATTTGGTAGCCCGCCTCGGCACTTTATCTAGTGCCATAATATCCTTCTTTAGAACAGGTGCCCAAAATTGCACAGAATATTCAAGGTGTGGTCTTACCAGTGATTTATAAAGAGGCAAAATGATATTCTCATCCCGAGAATGAATGCCCTTTTTCATGCATGACAATACCTTACTGGCCTTGGCCACTGCTGATTGACATTGCACATTATTGCATAGTTTTGTTGTCTATAACAATTCCCAAGTCCTTCTCGTGTGTTATCCCTAATTCGCTTCCATTAAGGGTATACGTTGCTTGTGCATTCTTTAAGCCAAAGTGCATAACTTTGCATTTTTCAACATTAAATTTCATCTGCCATTTGAGTGCCCAGTCTAACTAAATCCCTCTGCAGCAAAGTAATATCTTGCTCACATTGTATTGTTTTACAGAGTTTTGTGTCATCTGCAAACACTGAAACATGACTTTCAATGCTGTCTTCAAGATCATTTATAAACATGTAAATAGAAGGGGTCCCAGAACAGACCCCTGAGTGACACCACTTGCCACCTCTGTCCAGCTTGAAAATTTACCATTAATGACAACTCTTTGTACTCTATTTTTAAGCCAATGTTCTACCCAAGAACATGCATTTTCATTGAGACCGATTTCCTTGAGTTTGAACACTGATCTATATTGTGGATTTTTTTTTTTTTTTTTTAAATGTGTGTTTTTTGTTTTTGCCCTGCTCCTGGCAACAAGCCATAGGTAGCAGCAGTTACACCTTCTTCTGTCGCTTACAGGGATCCTGAGCCTCCGCTATAGTTGGGAGGTCGGGACATCTCGTTCTGATGCAGTGCCTCCACTCAGTGCAACTTCTATTTATGGGGAACCCACCCCACTGAGTAGATGAGTACCCTCCACTTAATAATTCAGAGACATGAAATGAATACAGACATGGTTAAAGAGATCTATAGCAGCAGAAATAACAATGCAGTTCGTGGCTAATGTTAAACACAGTCACAAGAGTCTTTACCAGCAGGAATGCAGACCGCAAACTTCTCTTCATAACATCAATAACTACATCTGAACAGTTAAACTCCTAGGTACCAGCAGGTAAATTATGTGCACAACGTTGGGGCCCTTAGGTGTAGGTAGTGCTACCCAGGTACAGTTATAAGGGAGAATCCTGAAGCAATCTCTGGAGACAGTACCTTTTGAGTGACCTCTGTAACTGCAGATATCTCCAGAGAGATCCAGCAGAACAGCAATGGCAATCCTTTCTCTTCCTTCTGCTGACAGAATACAAGAGCTCATTCACACTCCTGCAGGGAGCTGAACATTAAATAACAAGTCTTCTAATTCTCCTAGCAGAGCAGTAGACGGTCTCCAACTTCTTGTAGTTGCAGTGCATTAGCCTTCCCCTGTTATTATTTCACTGTCCCAGCAGTCATAGACCATTGAAACAGGTAGGGCCACACTTTCTTTAAGCGGACTCGGAGAACATGGCTACTCCGCTCTCCTCTTCTTCCTGCCATCCTAGCCCTTCCTCAAAGTTCAATATCTCAAAACTTAAAGCAAAACAGTGAAATATAGCAGCCTGTTACATATGTATTAATTAAAACCAAATCAATTAACAAATTGTATATAAGGGAAAAAAATGTAATCTGTAAACAGATGCATAGGTCAGATTCTAAAAGCAAAACCATCATTTTACCTGATTGCAGGGTACAGACAGTCCCTGACAATGATTATGGTGGTGTCTATCTACAAGTACTCTCCACCAGGGCGTTAGGAAGTTCACTTTCCTGGCTTGCACAGTAACTCGTAACAAATTTGTATGTCCCTGCTGATGTGATGAGGACTGCGAGCACTATCCTCTGGAACTAACACTCATATTTCTGGCAAAACCGACGGTGTTAACTGGTGGTGGGTAGAATGAGCAGAACCATGCATCTGTCTGTTTTTATGCACGGGCCAGTTCAGTTTTGCGAACCCCTGTGCCACAGTGTATGCAGTTTTGGAACCTTCTAGCATTGTGAGTAGGTTTAGTGGAGAAGACAGGCGTATTCTAAGTGCAGTGTGGACTGTAGATGTAAACATGGATATATATATATTTTTTATCGCTCTACTTTGACGACTAGCTCTAGGCTAGCTCATTTTGCGATTTTTGCCTAGTGCAAGTCACAAGCCCTATAATTGCCTCATTGCCTGGTTGTCACACCCCTTTTCTCTGCTCCGTGTCTAGCTATTATAATAAGCATTATGTATAGAGTAATTTCCATGATGCACTATGCCCATACCTGTCAGGAAAGACGTAAAACAGGTGTAAATACAGCTTTTCTGTCTTTGAGTAAGTCAGGTTCACTGTTTCTGTTGATGGTCTCCTGTCTAGCTGTTTTTATATATAATTTCATAACGCATTTGTATGTTTACAGAAAGAATATAAACTCTGCTCTTCAATGCACGAGTCACATGGTTTTTCTCTGGCTAATAGAGCATGTCTGTCTGTGTCTGCTTGAAAGATACTCAAAAATCACATGTGTAGAGTACTGCGACAATTGGAGTGTTAAATGCTTCTTCCAAATAGGCTCTTAAAATGTGTGTTTTTTGTTTAATAAGACCATTAAAACAAACTCTTTACAATAACAGTTTTTTTTTTGTTTTTGTTTTCTTTCTTTCTTTAATAGTGGGGCGGCTACCAGTGGAGGGGAGAATGATGGTGACGAGCTGGATCAGAACTGGCAACCTCCTGATTCAGAACTGATACAGAAACTTGTAGTCCAGATTGAATATTACCTTTCTGATGAAAACTTGGAGAAAGATGCCTTCCTCTTAAAACATGTGAGAAGAAATAAAATGGGATTTGTCAGCGTTAAACTACTTACCTCCTTTAAAAAGGTTTGTTTCAGTTTCTATACGTAGCGTTTTTTCTTTTCATAGTTTTGTGTTTAAAGCTATAGAATCTGGTTTTAGACATTTCATATTAGCTTGGACTGCCTTAATTAACGTTGCCAAGAATATACAATTAAAGGAGGCGCCATAAGTACATGCTAATGTAGTTATGGTCCATGCAGTCACCAGGTCCTCGGTCACTCAAGAGCATTTGATGGAGAAATTTGGGGTGGGGATGGCTTAAAGACCAGTAATATTTAACTTAAGTCAATGACTCGAGCAAAGATGTAACGATTACCTATCCCACGAAACCATGGGGGGAGTAAAGGTGTCACAGAATCTCTCCTCCTTTGAGGATGGTCGCCTAAACTGTGCTCCCCCAAGGGGGTATCCCTTAAAGACCATAATAAAAAATTACCAATACGCTCCACTAATAGGTGGCGCAAAAGGAAGGGGCACAGTGAAAAGTTAACTTAAAAAGAACCCTAGGTTTTATTAAGATCTAATGTTAAAAAGGAAATAGAAAAAAAAAATTGCTCAACTAAAGGTGTAAGCCTAATTGATCTAGGAGATAAAGTGGAAAGGTGGAGTCCGACAGTTACTCATACTGCTGTATAGAAAGCCACCACATGGGCAGGTAGGTAAACCAGAAGAAACCCCCCTTGTATAATATACCACCTACTAGAGAAAGGTACAGGGTCTCAATGGGGAAATTCACAAGAAAAAAGCTCTAATAGGACTCCCTCATCTGTAAAGAGAGACTCCAGCACCCAAGTGAGGAACACCTCATAGGGATTATGCTTGCACCCAGACCACTTCAATGAGCTAAAGTGGTCTGGGTGCCTATAGTGTCCCATTAAAGACAACATTTTAAAAATTGTGTTGTGTGTGTGTGTTTTTGAATTTTTTTTTTTTAATTATTATTTTTTTTTTTTTTTAATACATTGACTGATACGTTTGTGTTCCGTACTTGGGAAATGTCAGCGATTAACACATGATTCTGTTGAAGAATGATTAATATTTGACGGTTTACAAAATTCCAATGCTATTTACATTTGCTCTGTTTCCTACAGGTAAAACACCTCACACGTGATTGGAGAACCACTGCATACGCTCTAAGGTTTTCTGATTTACTTGAATTAAATGAAGATGGCAGGAAAATACGTAGAAAAACTCCTGTTCCTGTATTTCCTAGTGAGAATCTTCCCAGTAAGATGCTCCTAGTCTATGACCTCCACTTTATTCCAGAGCTTCAGTGTTTAAATAAAGAACAGGAGAATGGTGGGATGCAGGAAAAGATAATGGAGCAGCTCCTCAAGAGTTTCGGAACTTTTGGTGTAATTTCCTCTATACGTATTTTGAAACCAGGGAGGGATCTTCCATCAGATGTCAAGAGGTTCAGCAGTAGATACAGTCAAGTTGGGACCAAGGAATGTGCAATAGTGGAGTTCGAAGAGGTAGAAGCTGCTATCAAAGCACACGAGACATTGAATGCAGAAAGTGAAGCAGACGATGGTATTAAAGTTGTTCTGATTGGTATGAAGCCTCCAAAGAAAAAGATACAGAAAGACAGGAGTAAAGAAGAAGATTCAAAGAATCTTCGCAAAAACAGATCTTTGAATAAAAGGGTGGAAGAACTTCAATATATCTGTGATGAGTCCACATCCGAACCAGAGAGTAATCCAAACTCTCCAATGACTGGCCGAAAAACTCCATCCAGTAACAAGCTCAGCCCATCTGCTTACCCAAATAACCACTTGAGCCCCAATGCCTCACCCAGAAACAGCCCTTGGAGTAGCCCCAGTGGGCAGCGGAAGGCCTCAAAGCATTCCCCACTTGCGGAAAGCATGAGTCCCGAATTCTCTCGTAGGAGCACAGAGTATTCCTCTGATAGCAGCATTACTCCATCAAGTAGTCCTTGGGTTCAGAGAAGGAGACAAGCTCAGACTGTAACTCAAGAAAAAAGTCCAGCTTGTAGTCCTATGCTAGGCAGGAAAATACAGAATGCCGATGGCTTGCCACCTGGTGTTCTGAGGCTTCCAAGAGGCCCTGATGGTACAAAGGGATTTCACAGTGGAAGCGAAAGAAATAAACCAGTCGAGAATCTCTGAATGCCACACAACCTTAAGGAAATGGTTGCACCAGCATTCTACCAGCCTCTTCTGTACTGAAGTGACTTGTGATGCAACACATTGCTTCAAGCCAACCCAGTAGTGTTGGGTTGCACATTATTTTTAGCTGGAAAGGAAAGCATTTTCAGATGGACTGATCTAAAGTCTGTATTTATTTTATTTCTCTTTAATTTTTTTTTTTTTAAATGTCTGTTTTTTGGTTTTTTTTAAATCCGTTTACTTTCTAAGCCTACTGTGTACATTTGCAGCCGTAAAAACTGCTTTCTATTTTATTTTTAGTTTTGCTTCAAACCATTTTTTTCAATTTTTTTATTTTTTTTTGTTTCCCTTCACTGATTCATGTAAAGCAATTGCTGTTGACATAAAGGCACATCTAAGCTCTGATTCCAGGAAAGTAATGTATTTTTATTTCACTATGTCTAATGTCAGGACTATACAGGCTTGTCCACTAGCTGAGTTGGATGCTGTTAGACCTCATGCAATGCAAGTCATAAACTTCCAAAGACACAACTGTATATAAATGTATATTTGCTGTGATGTGAAATTAAAAGGAAATACCCTAAGCATTGAAAAGGAAACTGGGCCTCACACTTATTTGCTACCCCATACTGTGTTTTTATTTCCAGTTATCCTGTAACAATTCAATCAGGGAAAATTAGTTAAGAGGGACACTATATAGTCACCAAAACAATGTTACCTTAATGAAGCAGTTCTTGTCACTTTAAGCGAACCAAAGACCGAATCGGAGATAATCTGAGAGTCACTGGGGTTCTGCTTCATCAAGGTGGTTTTGCTCGTAACAGTTTCAGTCCTAGTACATTAATGGAACACTCGAGTCTCCATAATCGCTTCACCTTATTGGCACAATTCCATGTGGAGGGACTTGCAAGGTATTCAAAAAGCCTTACTACCGATAAGTAAGACTAACTCTATTTTTGGTTATTGGGTGCCCATGGCTGCTCACAGTACCAATCCGTAAAACAGGGTGTCTCTGGGTTTAACCCCTTAAGGACACATGACATGTGTGACATGTCATGATTCCCTTTTTATTCCAGAAGTTCGGTCCTTAAGGGGTTAAAGGTGTTGCTGCCCTGGATCAAGCTCTTTTAATGTCTGCAGAGACCCAAATACTCCATGGTATAGGAATTGTAATAAAATAAGTTGAAGTGGTAGAGTGTCCCTTTTTAAATACATTGCAAATGTGCTTATTATTAATGGTAAGACTGTTACCGTTGTGGGGACTATACTCTGTATGAGTTACCTTTTATACAACCTGCACTCTTCAGCAGCTAGAGAGCAATTAGTCACTTCTCCCTCTTACTACTTACATTTTCACAGAGGGGTTTGATTACTTCTTCCAGTATTATTGCAGTGTGCATCCCAGTCTGTCACAGACCTTGTTCAAAAAAGGAGCAATCTCAAGAGCATATTGATTTATTTCTTTAGAATTCTGTAAAGAGAGAGCACGTTAGGTTGTGTATGTTAGCTGATGGACTGCTGTTAGCATACTATAATGTCTTTGAGTAGAGCAACAATATCACACACTGGGCTAGACTATGGCTGCCAATCTATCCATCATAGATGGCAAACTACCACTTTGTATCGAAGCCATGGCTGTATCACACAGTATCAAGAAGCCTGCTGCCAAATGTTTGGTTTAGTGTGTTTTTTTTTTTTTTTTTGCTCTCTTAAGTAGGAAAAAATGAGTTAGGCACAGAACATATATAATTTTTTGAAGCCTCTGATCACTCTGGGCCCACGTTAATACATTTTTTAGGTCTTTATGGTGGATGGTTAGCTGTTTAAAGGGGTAAAATATATAGATACGTTTTTGCAAATGAGTACATTCGTTTAATTCATGTTTCGCTTCATAGTCCACTGTCCTTGATAAGGATTGTACTTTAACACTATATAGAAATCTGTATTCTGAATGTTGTAATGTTCCTGTCCCAGGCTCCCTTGGCGCTGCTCAGCATTCCTATCCAATCCAGTTCTACACAAAGAGGAGCACGGGAGACAAAATGCATGGCGAGCACAGTGTGCGTATTCAAACTCTCATAGGAAAGGATTGAATAAGTGCTTTCCTATAGGGCTTCTGCGTCACGTGCATTTGGGTCGGTCAAGCCTCTTAGTGGCGATCAATTTTCATCATATTATCTCCATCATTGCAAAGGCTGAGAGTCTGTCTTTAAATTCAGTCATGGATCATGATTTTGCAATAATTACAATATTGTTTTGTTGCAAGTTGACTTTTCTTTTTTACACACAGATGTGTTTACTTGTTAGTGTCCGTTATAATAAAGTATGATGGGCCTCATGATATTTTACTATATTTAAACTCACACTTACAAAATAATGAAGTGTTTTACATTTGTGTGTTTTTTTTTTTCTTTCATGCAAGTAGATACTTTGTACTTACCCAGCCTGGACACCAACCTTCTTCCTAGGATACATGTTAAGGCCAGTTTGGAGAGTCATCTAAATTCAAAGATGAAATAAACTTCCCCCTACTCAACCTGTATCGGGCTGTAGCAGGAATACTTCATGGTGGTTACAATTGATATTGCATTTACCAAATCTTCCCATCTGTGTACTTGACAGACTGCTAATCCTTTTTAACCACTGTACTACAGAATACATAGTTTTTTACTTTTATGCATTTTGCAGAATGAAATTTGGTTAATAAAGCCTCACTTACCCTCCTATATACTCTAGTAATGAACACCAGCCTATAGAGGAACTAATTTCTCTTCAGCATACTTGCCGGCATTAAAGCAGTACATTTTTAGTAAGATGTACTGCCTGTATAAGCAAGGTATTTTTACCATTTTTATTTATCGATTTGTCACACCTACTGTGAGTAATAGCATTTTTATTTTTATAGTAGCATTTCGGATTGTTTGAAATATTTTTATAAAGGCAGAGAAAATTAGCAAATTGTTTTATTCATGTATCTCTCCATAATCCTGGGTCATTGAACTAAAGGAAGCTGATCTCAGTCTACCCTAGCCACGGTTCCCGTCCATTGCACCTTAAAAGGTGGACAGTGGAACTGATCACCACTTGTAACACAAAATAGAAAAGACAAAAAAAAAAGTCAAAATAAGGAGAGTGGCACAAAATGAAGAAAGGGAGCCCTACCTTTAGTCTTTACTGCACTGATTATACTTAATCACTGCAGTAAAGTCTAAAGGTAGGGCTCCCTTTCTTCATTTTGTGCCACTCTCCTTATTTTGACTTTTTTAGTTCTTTTTCTAGTTTATTTTGTAATTTTGAGGGTTATCCCCTACTTTTAGGAGAGTGACACTGGGCACCTCTGGAGCTAGTCCCTTAGCCCCCTGTACCATTGGGACTTCTGGATCAGCTTCTGTTTGTTTATTCATTTATGTTTTTGATCACCACTTGTGCATTGGAAAAAGTTATGTGGATTTTTTGCCTTTTTCTTCAGTTTATGTGAAAAATGTGCTTTGTAACTGCAACAGCAGTGTGTGAATGCAAATCGGAAGCATTCTGTTAGAGATTACAAACTGCATATGTTTTGGGCACGAAGGTGCAGAGGGTTTATAACATCCAATTTGTGTCTTTAGAGCTAAACAAAAATACCGTATTTCACTGCATAATGGTTGCAGATTTTATGCCTAATTCGTTTCCTTGAAGGGTGCAACCATTATGTGAAGCTTTATTTTTTGCGATATTATATAAGCAAAGCTTTTTTTTGACAGTTTTGTAACAGTTGCTGATAACATTATAGTCTTAATTACATAACACAGCATATTTTCTTTTTTTTTTTATTCTTTATTTAACATTTGGCAATGACATAACAAGCAATCTGCCGCACATATATTCCACATTTTCCTGCTGGTTACATTGCTCATGAAAAATACCCAGAGCACCGGGCCCCGACCACAGTCCCCCAGCTCCCGCTCCTCCAGCCAAGTGCCAGGGTCGTGCACTTTGCTCCGAGTTTTAGGCTTGTATGTGCGTCCCCTCGGCTCTTTATCAGTCCCTTCCCATGTCAATGCCACATTAAACAGAAGTCCAACTGAACAGTAATAAACCAGAAAGAATGAAGTTGTCTCCATCCCGCTCCCATATATTCATCGCATTGTCACCCCAGGCCTCTGGACCTCCCATTCCATCCCTACCACCCTCGACCCACCCCCGAGGAGGAACGCTATTCCGTGGGCCAAGTTCCATCCTCGGTCCTGTCGACCTCAACACAGCATATTTTCTAATGCATTACATAAACTCTGATCCTGATCCCTGTTCTCCTGTCATTTCTTAATGCATCAAATAGATAAAATACAATAAACTGATGGGTAATAAACCCTCTCTACAGTATAAGATCGGTAGGATGTTCGCAATTGGTTTTCAATAATAACCAAAAAAAACGCAATGGTCAATTATGCGACTGTTACGCGATGAATTGAGTTTAAACCAAATTTTGAACTGAAAAACCAGGGTGCGACTATGCGGTGAAATACGGTAGTAGTAGAAAACCGGATTAGCAAATATCTTTATGGTATAGAATAGATTGCTGCTATTTCTATAAATAGGGGCAAGAAATGTTACGTTGAATTCCAATTAATGCTTTATAGCCAGATCTGGGCGGGTTATCACCTACGCCAGGAGTTCATTGTCTTTTGTTTAAATAGAAATAAGCAGGGGAGGCAGGCGTTAGTTTGAGTCACAGTGTGACCATGTTAATGCCTGCAGCCTTCACTCTATTAGCTGTTGGAAAGCAGACAAAATGTGGTTTTATTCACTTGGTGGCCTAATTCACAGCTTCTCACAGTCTATGGAGTTTTTCTACAACACACATCTCTTCGTGGCTACATTTAATAACCAGAGTAAGCAGTATTTTCTAAAACCTGAAATATTTTGTTTTAAAAAATGTTTTTATTTTTTGGCCATTTGCAAAATTTTCAGACTTGTCTGACTCTGAATTTACAAATGAACAGGAAACGTTGTTTGTGTGTGTTAGTGTCACAGCATCACCGTAATGTCTTGGAAGTGTTCTAGAAATTTAATAAAATACTGTGCTTGTACCAAGCATTTACAGATAGCAATAGAGTGAAGGTTTTCTGGAATGGTTGTGTCCTTCAAACACATCCTTAACCCCTTCATGACAGATGACAAATCCTAGGATGTCATTATGGTTATGACCTGTCCAATTTGTCTTGAAGGTATTTAAATAAGTCTGTCATATAACCATTGTATACTTGCCAACTTTTCCAAACTTGTAGCTGAGACAGCACTGGAACATGGCAGTGATACAAATTTTCACAGGCACCCCCGTGCTGGGTCCAATGTGTAGCTGTGAAATTGAATTATCCTCTTGGTGGGCAGGAGGACCGAATTACAAGCTGCATTTTAAGGTCCCCCCACCCCCTGTTAAAAACAGGCCTGAGTAATAGATCAAAACTGTCCTGTTGAATTGAGGGCTGTTGGCACATGGTTGTTTTTAAAACGTTAGGGGTGGATAATGTTGCCACTTCCTCCTGACTATGAACTATTGTACAAAGTGGCGCTGCCAGCATATCCTGCTTATGTACCATGATTTAATGTTTTAAAAGATTTATATAGTGGGACAATGCTAATCTGAATAATTTTGTAATTTTAAGCAGATTTAGTTTTTTTGGAGAGCAAAATGTTTTGGGTGTTTTTTGTCTGTTTTTTCTGTTTGTCAACCTATAGTTGCAATATAACATCTTAAAAAATACATGCCCAAGTGGCCACCTGCAGAGAAAAACAAACCCATATCTTCATGTGTTTCTAGCCATACGTTATTATAGATGACATCCTTTACACTATAGGTATAATGTTTAAAGTGATATGATAAAAGGACATTTTAGTCACTGTGCCACCTTTTCTAAGTAGCTGTAGTTGATCGCTATAAAGACTTGCATTATCACTGAAGAAATATTTTTGACATGAACTCCTAGAAAACTGATTTATAGTTTTTCTGGTTCTCAAAACCCTGCATTTCTGAAGTTTCTGTCTGTTCCAAGGAGCTGCAGAAGACCTGGGCTGTTGTAGGGTCATCTATTTACCTAACAGAAGAATTTTAAAATTGCAATTGGTTTGAAAATAAAAATACCAAATACATTAATTTATCAAACTCTAACAGGTTTATTTGCTAAACACCAAATTTGGTTAATATGACTGAATTCAAACCGGCTGGGCAATTTCCATATTAATTGAAGCCAACATTGGTTGAAATGTGTTCCTCCCGCCTGAGGCTCCATCATTTGGCTAGATGCATTTCGAGTCAACTTTTAAATTCAGGTGTTTGTGGGTTGTTGCTTTTAAATGTATTTATTTTATTTAAACATTTAAATGCTATATAAAGCATTAAATCTTGACATGTGCAAAGCACTGTTTCTTAACATCTGGGCAGAATGCATCAGGTAAGATGGACATTCATATATTCTAGTAACAACAAAAAACATTGATGGTGTGAGGGTTGTTATGTGGCAGCTGTCTGGTATGTGCTGATCAGCCAGTACAAACCATGGGGCTTACTATAACCATTCAGTTTAACATATCTGATAAATAGTGGAGAGCCAGGAATGGCACCAGTAGAATATTGGGGGGACTTGGAACTGATCCCTTCCCCAAACATGTTGGCTGATCATGGGTTTATTCAAGAAACGATAGGTGAAAATGATTCACACATAGCTGTAAAATTAAGAATTAAAACCGGTATTTGCCTGATATTGTAACACCCCAGAACTGGATTTGTTTTTTTTCCCTTTACATGTCCCTAGGCTGTAATACACCTTTACTGACGTGCTGAAATCAGGAATTGAGTTTGTCTCTAAACAACTCGAGGGGATTGCAGTTATCCACTGATATGAAGAATCTATGAGCATGCATGTATATGATATCAAAGACATGGAATGCAGTTTGATTACGTGCCATGAAATAGCATACAGTTTGCATATCCACGTAAATCTTATACGTTACCCGACGTGATCTTCATTTGTGTCTATAAGGAAAAACCCTTGTGTGTTTTTAATGCCATGTGGTTAAAATGTCAAAGGTGCTCCAAAACTCAGCACTCCAGAAAGAAAATCAACTCATAGTTGCCATAAAAACAGCTTCTTCTTTATCTATCGTTATATCCAAGTCAGTCATACAAAAAAACCTATAAATGTACGAAGGGGGGTGAGGAGCAAAAAAAAAAAAATGAATTAATTGTACCACGTGCCCAGGAAAGCTTTTGACATAAGGAGGTTATATCACTTATTGCTAGGATCTCCCCACCTGGAGATACAGACCTGGGGGTGCAGCTTGGGAATTTTGTCTTTTCTGAACAATGCTGTATTAGATTTTTTTTTAAATTACCCACTTAGTTGCCCTTATATGTAGTGCAATAAACAATCTCTTTTAAATATTTGTTTGTTTTATTTGGACAATTGCCAAAAATGTGTAACTGAGAATGAAGGAATTCTTATCGAAGACTAGAATGGTTAGGTTATTATTTAGATTAGAGAGAAGGCCGTGACAAAACTAGTGTTCAACTTTTAAACTGCAATAAAGTGGTTTGTTTTTTGATTGCGGTTGTGTGTGCTATAAGCAGAGGTGGAGTGCTGTGAGATTATATCTATAAATATACACGTTCTATATAAAATCATGTATAACTTGATGGAAAAATATGGTTTGACTGGTATTGACTGAGTGAATTTTCAGTTTTATCAAATGTCTTGTCCTACAATAATTTAAAAAAAAAAACCTTTTTGAATAAAGAAATGTCGTATTGAATTTCATTCAAATGTAAATAAACATTCTAGAACAGACTGTTTTTGTACTGTTAATGTTCATTGGGTCAATGAAAGCTAAGTACAAATCTAAAGAGGTTTAATGTAATTGCAGTCTACCATAGGATTAGACTTATTGTAAACTGGTTTCTGCAGAGCAGAAGTTGAAAAGCTGGTTCTATTTCTGAACAAAACCTATTTTACCTCTTATGACTGGTAAAATATACAAGGTGAGGTTTGTGTTTGCATAGAAAGTACCAATTGAACTTCTATAATAAATATGTGGGGCTTTATGCTGTAAGCTGTGAATTGGAAATTTAATTTTCAAAGAGTAGGTTAAAATGACCACATTTCAATTAAAATGTTTTCTGTTTCTGATCTATTGGCCTACGTTTGAAAGGTCTGTTCGTTTCATAATTAAGATTTTTATAAACTTCTTAACCTGTATGCCATGGTGATATCTAAGTAAGTAATCCCATAGAGACTGTTCAAAACAAAATGTTTAAGAACTTAAAGAATCCGTTAAATGCAACTAGGTATTTTTAGAAACTCTCCTGTTTTCATTTGCCAAAATAAAATGCAACAACAAATTGCACGAAAGAAGGGGTAACCTGTGCCAAAAGCATTGTGTGAATATACTTGCATCCTAATGTGATCTCTTACAAACTATTCTTCTGTAATTTTTGAAATTTGCAATCCCAAACATACCAGCATAGAACTTGTACATGGGTGAAGTGAATGTTTTGAGCATTTTAACATGATTGCACCAGTAAAGCATGTTTGTAAAGGCTGTCCATGTACGTAGAGTCTGCACATTTTATGGATTGTGAGATAAAAGTATACTGGATAATATACTCCACTCCATCTATTTCTACAATGAAGAAAAATAAAATCAAAAATATTATTTATCAAGGTCAATCAAAATGCACTTTGTGTTACAATTAATGAATGAACCCTATGAATAACTAAACCCTTTTTAATCTGACAAATGTTGAGAACTCTGCAAAGACGTTTACAAGCAACATTTTTTTTTAATTTTTTTTTTAAATTTGTAATTAAACATACATTTCTATTTAGAATTCTTACAGCTTCAGTTTACCAAATCTGTACCTTTTTTTATAATGAATTTAAATGTCTTTACAAACTACCTGCCAGGGCAACACCTACATCTTTAATAAAAAGAAAAGAATAATGAAAGGTTAAGAAACATGTCAAATACTCAATTTTACATGTTCAGTCCCCAATGTTCAAAGGAAGCATGTGATTGGTATGTGTGACAAAGTTCACAAAGCAGAATAAACACTGTTAAAGTAAATAAAACTGAAGATAGTCAGGGTTTGTTTAAAGTAAACTAATAGGGTTTTTTTCACTCTGGTTTCTGGTGCATCTGGTGGTGGTGGAAGACATTTCAGAACAAAAGACTACAGACATTGGAAAAAGCATTTGAAAGCACTGTTTCCATGTGTAATGGAAGAAGGTAGAACCAGTCGGTAATAAGATTAAATCTGGCAGAACTTTCATAACGTTTGGGCTTTGGTCCCTAGAGAAAAGTCTACTTAAAGCAGTGTGAGCATGATGCTAATTGTGCTTTTTTTCCCCCAAGGCCTACATGCCCATACAAAAACGCTACGTGGGTAGCCAGTCATATTGGTTCACATGAATGTAGGGTTATAACCTAAAGTTAAACTGGTTGGGAATTTAAATTAAATTTCACATTTAAGACCAAATTAGTCAAAATAGAAAACCACTCAAGTAAGTATGCTTCCGGTATGTCTACGTTGGCATTAAAGGATCACGATAGGGTCAGGAACGCAAAAATGTATAGTGCTTGCCCCCCCCTGCTGGCTCCCCCTTTGTGACATCAAAATGGCTGATTTTAGCTAATCCAATATTAGCTAACAATCAGCATGGGGCGGGGCCAGACGCTTTTTGGGCCAATCAGCACCGCCTCATAGAGATGCATTGAATCATTGCATCTCTATGAGTAAAATTAAGCGGGGACACTGAACGGCAGGGCCACTTACTGTGCAGCCCCGAGCCAGGAAGCCCCTCCAGTGGCCATCTAAGGAGTGGCCACTTGAAGGTGTCCCTAGGGGCAATGTAAACACTGCCTTTTCTCTGAAAATGCAGTGTTTACATGAAAATGCCTGAAGGTAATTATTATACTCACCAGAACAACTACATTAAGATGTATTGTTCTGGTGACTATAGGGTCCCTTTAAATTTGAAATTCACTTTGAATTGCTGCCAATCCTCACTGTAGTGAATAACCCTGAGTTTATAGACTACCTACCTGGCTCCTTAGCTAGATTCACCAAACCTGAAATTATGACTAGAGATATTGGTAGGTTTATAATCCTGTAAAATGATACCAATTAATACTTATAGAAAAATAGCAACAACAACAAATTGTAAAAAACAGAGTGAGAGTGTACCCTTCAAGCAAGATATAAATATAAAATACTTGTGCATATACATGAATGGCAGAATGGTCATAAACAATACCTAAAAAACAATAACACAAAACATAGTGTGTACTGCCAAAATACAAGCGAGTATAGATGAATAACTGGTTCAACTCACAGATTCCAGAGCCGTACAAGGCTCTGTATAGAAAGCCCAAGGGTGCCTAAGCACTACTTTTTGTTTCAATAAAAACAAAGTATAAAATAGGCTTACAAAAAAGCAAAAGTGTTCTCTGCTTTTTTGTAAGCCTATTTTATACTTTGTTTTTATTGAATAAATGTATTATTTGATCCACTTATTTGCTGCTGTGGCTTCTCCTATCTTCGTGATCCATCTGATTCCAGTGGTCCATGGTCTGCTTAGGCACCCTTGGGCTTTCTATACAGAGCCTGGTACGGCTCTGGAATCTGTGAGTTGAACCAATTATTCATCTATACTCGCTTGTATTTTGGCAGTACACACTATGTTTTGTGTTATTGTTTTTTAGGTATTGTTTGTGACCATCCTGCCATTCATGTATATGCATAAGTATTTACTTATTTTATATGTATATCTTGCTTGAAGGGTACACTTTCACTCTGTGTTTTTTACATTTTGTTGTTGGTGCTATTTTTCTATTTGTATCAAGGTGTGGGGGCAACACCTTTTTTCACCCTTCTCTGCATAGATGTATTATTAAAAATTGAAGCGCCCGACTTGTATTTGTTTTACAATTAATACTTATGTTGTCCAGAAAAGTCAACAAAGTCTACTAGTCCTTGTCTTCTGGTCATATAAACTGTCTCAGAAGGTCAATGCGTCCTGCAGGAAATGCAGAGACATTGCACTCCTCTGTATCACACACTTGGCATTCTGCTGTGGGGTTTAAGCAAAAAAATAAATTAACAATACTCCAAATCACTGATGATTCACTGTTCAATTACTGATCATTCCCAGAATGTGGATGATATTGTGACAACTGCATTAAAAAGAAATAGGTAACCACTGACGGCATAAAGACACTCAAGGATCTGAGGGGGAACGAAGAACACACTTTCCTGATACGCCTCAAATACAAACAGATCCGGAGTTACATTACATCCCTCCCGCAGAGACCGGCACTAAATAGGGCTACCACTCCCTTCGAGAATCTATGCTTGGAACCCAACCCACTAACACATGGGGTATCGGCACTATACACCCTACTAATAACACTCACACCAATTGCCCAACCACGGTTCATGGGGAAGTGGGAGTCGGCACTGGGCCAGACCTTTGACAAAGTGGAATGGGAGGAAATCTGCTATTTAACGCATCATTGCTCTAGCTATAGCAAGACACAGGAAATGGCATATAAACTACTGACACACTGGTACCACACTCCTGAGTCACTACATGCCCGAATTCCATCCCACCCCCCACAGTGCTGGAGATGCGGGGAGGACAGAGGCACACTCTTACACATTTGGTGGGCGTGCAAACAGATAGTCCCATTCGACCCAGCAGTCATGCTCTTACACCATACTAAAACCCCACGAACAGCTTATAAGAGATCACTCACTATTCTCATACTGAAAACGGCCAAAATGATCATACCACAGTATTGGAAAACACAGGTCACCCCCCCTGTGAAAGTTTGGTTTAAGCAAATGGAAGAATTGAGATCCCTAGAGGAACTTCACCACAAAGCTCACGATACATTCCAAGTGTACCTCAACACTTGGACACATTGGATCCTGAAGACAACAGACCCCGAATTTACTAACATGACATAAATACCACCACACAGTTAGCTGCAGGAGGCCACAAACCCAGAGAGGAGCGGGGAAGACAGCCACACAGGGGCGGGTCTACCTCCGGCACCAGTGGCTAACCGACACTAGAAGGCCCGACAAACACCCAAAAGGACAAGGGAGGCCCTGTCACATAGACGAGGAGACCACCTCAACTAAATAGGGCATCCCGAAGAGGGGAGGGGTTGAGAGAGGCAGACCATAGGACCCGGGCTGTCACGCGACACTCTCACAAACAAGCACGAGTAACGGAGACATACACACACACGCAATATTCACAAGGGACTTGTAGGACTGACGTAATCGCGGGCATACGAGCCCAATAGAAAATGCAACTGTATAAAAATATATAAGAAAGAGTGTAAATGCTGAAGAGCAAGACACAGAAATGGACCAGTCAACATGTTTGTCATTTTTCACAGTTCTATATTCATGGTTAAATTAATGGAGACCTGCGAGTCTCAATGTGCTGTCATTTGCCCTGTAAGCACACCGCAAGACAATAACGGAGACCTGCGAGTCTCAACGCTCTGCCTTTTTCTTTGTGTGCACAAAATATGCCAATAAAAATATATTTACAAAAAAAAAAAGAAATAGGTGGTAGCTGAATGCTACTAAGCTACTTACTTGTTCCATAGAGAAAATTTGATTTTTAAATTTTTTTTTACAGATGCCTACCAAATCCATGCCAAATCTAGTTGAAATTAAAATTTCTCACCGGCAAAACCCTGGTTTTGGCAAACTTGTCTTTCTTCCTATTAGGGAAGCCTACATATCATTCAGTCAGTTCTCTTAGATGTTAAATAGGTACAGTTAAGTTAATAGGCAGAAATTTTTTTCTCAGCAGATACGAAATCACCAAAAACCTATGCCCCTCCCCCAGTGACGGATTATTGTCATGACTCCTAAATATGTTTACATAATACCTGTGGGATATTCAGGTGACTTTTGTACAAAATTCCTCAAGGTTCACATGTGGCTGTGAGTCACCTTTTTGACTCCACTGATCTACAGCATCGAACCGAATAGCGTCATATTATCCTGACTGATTGCATTCCTGGCATTGTAGCAGTAAACACACTCACTACTTGAACAAAGCAAGTACTTGGCCCTGAGGTGGTGGCACCTGTAAACAACATGAGAGATGCAGCCAACAAAATATTTGTTATATGGAGAAAATATACTGGTTTATAAGTTTCCAGAATATTTCGCAAAAGAAAAACTAAAATTAAACTACATTTTCTGATGGGTAAGCGGATTTACCGGTGAATACAGAGAGAGAGAGTGTGTTGATTTACGCTACATAACACATTATTGTATTGTTTATGTCTGGAACCAATCACACTCCACATTCAGTTAATGTTGTTTAGTAGCTGTGCAGGTGATTGGTGGATTTTCCAATCATACTTTACATATTTGTCATCTTCCAATCTAAACATCTAGCGTTCCCTTTGTGCTGTCTTGTTCCTATTGATCCAAAGTAATTAATTTCAAGATTGGTTCTTTTCATTTTGTATCTTACACATTCTCTTCCTAAAACAGACCTGAGATCCCTTAAGTTAACCCCCCTCTCATCCAATACCTGGCTTCTAT